TTCTTGTGCACCATTTAGAAGCATTAGAACAGAATGTAACGCGGCATGTTGAGGTTGAAGGGTACGAGCCTTTTTAGTCTTCTTTTGTCCTTCTTATCGTCCAAATTCTCTCTTGGTGGTAGTTTTGGGCTTTTTGATTCCTGGAGGTGGGGGCTGATTTTGTTGGGAAAAGGAAAGAGGACCAGGGGCGGGCATTGGAGGCTGACCAGGTTGACCGTGAGGTGCGGGAGGTAATCCAACAGGAGCTGCTCCCGGTGGTCCTGGGGCACCAGGTGCATTGTTAGCACCGTTTCCGCCCAATGGAGGAGTGGGAACAGTACTTTCCAAAACCATGCCCTGTGGAAGACGCGGCTGTTGAGATACTGGAGGAGGTTGAGGAGGATGGGTGTTTCCTTCTTGTTGGTACTTGATTAACTGGTCGAGGCGAGCTTTGATGTGGGGGTTTCCCGGATCAAGTCTTTCAGCTTGGCGATAGGCATCGAGAGCATCGGAAATTTGATTATTGCAAGTTTCATACAAGGTTCCCAAATCGTACCAAACTTCTGAAATGTACGGGTTCAAGCGAATAGCTCTTGTGTAAGCATCTAAAGCATCACGGTATTGCGAGATCTGGTAGTACAACACACCGATGGAACACCAGAAAGTTGGATTTCTCGAATCGCGATTAACGGCCTGCTGGAATGCTTCGTAAGCAGCATTGAAGTCGCCACGAAGCATATGGACACGGCCCAAGTAGTACCAAGAGTGAGCATCCAGTTGGTCAATTTCCAACAGCAGACTCAAATATTTAAGAGCCTGAGTGAGATCTTGTTGAAATGGTTGATTTTGATCAGGTTTTGCCGGTTCTGCTTGGGAGTAAAGACAACCCAATTGTTGCAAGACCTTGGCGTGTTGAGGATTGACCTGAAGGACTCTTTCGTATGCCTCCTTTGCGCCATTCCAGTCTTTCTGTTGTTCCAAAACTGAACCGATTTGAAACCAAACATCAGGCTGGGTAAGTGGTTGTGGAGGGCTTGCGAGTATATACTGGAAACATTCAAGAGCCAGCTGGAGTTTACCCTGGTGTTTGTAGATGATACCCAAACGGAAGTAAATTTCGTTTGACTTGTCAAATTTGGGATCGAGTTCAAGCACACGCACGAAAGCTTCTTCGGCGTATTCAAGCAGACCATAACGATCATACAAAATTCCAATTCCATGCCAAAGTTTAGGAACGTTGGGGTTGTCAAGATAGTACAATGCTCTCTGATAAGCAGCGTAAGCACGTTGGAGGTCATCCAACATGAGATAACAGTGACCTAAGAGACCCCAGGTTTCACCGTTTTCAGGGCTGTAATTAAGTGCCTGTTCATACAACTCGGCCGCCTTAAAGAAAACATCACGCAGACGATAGATGTTGGCAAGGCCAATAAGGGCCTCCAAATTGTTTGGGGAGTGACGAAGGGCCGAGTCATAGGAGGCAAGGGCCCTTTCGTAATCACCAAGTGATTCCGCAAGCAGACCTATAGCAAGCCATGTGGAGGTTGTAGTTTCCTCGAGCATCAGGGGAGTCTCTCGAGGAACTATGCCATTTTGCTTGGGCATTACCGGAAGCGTGGCCATGGTTCAAAAAATTCGTATAAATAGCTACGCTATAGTTAAGGTGGTTCACGCCGCAGTATCGAAGTTTGGAGGGTGCAGGCACAAACAGTAGTGTATATCTAGCTAAGGAAAAAGCCAGAAATCAAGCAGGGCCAGGTTTAGGAACAGGAAAAACAAATGGCAATTATGCGCAGCAAACGGTCGCTAATTGGAACTTTCGTGGACGTGGTGAAAACTGTCACCACCAGACGCGGTGCATGGATGTCATGCTCCATTTGGGCCGAAATGGGGGTGCGAAGGGGGTGCCACCGCTTGTCGCCTGTGCGAAAACAAAATCATGCGGGAGGAACGCCGCCCAGTCTACGAGCGCCGCACTCCTCCATGCCGGAACAGCAGGTTAAATCCTAAAAGCTCATTAATGTCTTTCGTCCAATCGTGTCTGCTGCGGGCGATGCACCAAAGACCGGACCGCTGACTTGGTTCGATAGAGATGTGTATTTCGTCTCCGTGACGAAGTTCAGGTTGTGGAATACCGTCAATGTTGAGCATTATACCACTATTGCGACTTCCATCGGTGAGCCTCATCATCACTTTGTAGGTTTCCGGGATGATTACGGGACGAAACAGCAACGACCGAGGACAGATGGGTGTTAGGAGGATACACGGCACGGACGGATGGACAATTGACCCACCGGCAGAGAGCGAGTAGGCTGTAGAACCCGTAGGCGATGAGCACAGAATTCCATCTCCGGTGGTGGTGGTGAAAAATTCATCGTTTAGGTAAACGTCTAAAGAGGTAAGATTGGGCTGTCCTCCACGATGAAGACTGATGTCGTTCATAGCATGGATCATGATATGAGGATGACCATTGCTATCTTTGGCCTGATTTTCCGATTCATCGACATGGCCCGATTTGCGTTTAACAACACATTGAAGTCGCTTTCGATGTAAGGCAAATGTTTTGTTGTCGTGCACGGCTCTAAACGTTTCCTTGTAGGTCTTGAAGTCAAATGGAAGAAGAAACCCGAGATTCCCCAATGCAAAACTAAGTAATGGTGGTACTTTTTCGTTTGAGAATGAACTCACCGCTCTCAATATAGTACCGTCTCCACCCAACGTTACTATAAGATCAGTCTTGTCAATGATTTCAGAGAGCGAACCAGTGTATAGTGTCTGGTTATACTTGTGAGAAATGTCCATTTTACTGGCAATTTGATTCCATGCTGGTACTTCTTGCAGTAATTCTTCCACCACAGACTCGCCAACAATCACATTTAAATGGGGATACTCTCCATGGATATGGTGGATGAACTCGATCATGGCATCCCTCACCGACGGATTCCATGGCTTTTTGACTAAATATATGTTTCTAAGGCCCGGATTCCATTCTACAGGCACCAACCCAGGTTTGATGGCTCCAATTCCGTCCTGACGAGAAACCAATTCCGTACAAGAACGCACGTTGAACGGTCGGCTGAAGTACCTCTGAGCAGATATTTGGAACCTGGGTAGGAACTTGGGCTTGAAAATGAATGTGTGGACCCGAAATTGAAACATATGGCTTTCTGATGGGTATCGGAGATATGACTCTAAATAGCGGTATGCAGGTCACACGGCTGTTCTCCGCTGCCGTTCACATTGGACTACATTCTGGCACTTCAGGTTCACATTGGACTACACTCTGACAATCGTTCTTATCTGCTTCTATTCTTATCGTAAATTACACTAATCTTCCTTTTTATCGGCCTCCTGGTTGAGTTCTTCAATCGCTTTCATTTCTTCGTCGGTGAGAGATAATTTATCGGTTTCTTGGTTGCCGGTTTCGTTTTGGTTTCCATGGTTACTGTTACCGTTTTGACTGCCGTTGCTACCATTTGGATTTCCGTTTTGGTCAGCTTTTTCCCCGTTCGTTTGTGTGACCTCATCTATATTACGCACAGGTTCTCGGTCATCGTAATGTTCTCCAGGCGCAACAACCATTTCATCTCGTGCTTGTTGCGATCCTCCTTTAGTGTCGTAGGCCTCGGGTGTATCCTCATCCACATCGCCCAAGTCTTCTGGGTCATGCGGGGTGTAATTCATTTGGACAGATGGGGCATGTTTGGTGTTGTCAAAGTTGGAGATGATATAGGTGAGAATTTTGTTCAAGAATTCGGGAGAGTTGGCGTTGTACATATTGGATGGACGGACATCCAACTTGTAGTCTGGACCGTAGTACTCGTAGTACTCGTTATAAGGAAGCTCCAGTGGAAGAACCACGTTATTCAATAATCCTGCTTCGAATGCCCATGTTCTGGCAACATTACGCATGGTATAGCCTCCTCCACCAACCACCATCATGGGGATGTTAAACGACTTGACAAAGTTGATACAGTTGGCGTGCCCTGCCATTGAAAGATTGAAGCATCCAAGTCTATCACCACTCAAAGAGTCACCTCCACATTGCAAAACCACGCATGAAGGTTGGTACCACTCCATGATTTTTTGGATAACCGGTTCGAAAATCGACTTGTAAGACAGGTCGTCGATTCCATCACGCAATGGAACATTGATAGCATGGTACTTTCCCTTTCCAATACCAACATCGCGAAGTTCTCCAGTACCAGGGAAGAATTCTCCATACTTGTGAAAAGATGCCGTCATCACTCTATCGGTAGTATAAAACGCTTCTTCCACTCCATCTCCATGGTGCACATCGATATCGATATACAAAACCCGGGGATGGTACCTAAGCAATTCTATGATACCAAGAACGATATCGTTGAGGTAACAGAAACCAGATGCCTCCAGCTTTTTGGCATGGTGTAAACCACCAGCATAATTGATGGCAATATCACACTTTCCTCGGTTCAACCGTGCTGCTCCTTCCATCAGTCCGCCTCCACTAATCCCACAATACTCAAATAATCCATCAAACACTGGACAGTCATCTCCAACATTGAACTTGATTTGCTCTTTTGCAAACATATCAAGGTTGTCAGGTGTCACTCTGCTCAAGAAATCAATATACTCATCGGTGTGGAACTGGCACATTTCCTGCTTGGTTGCTGGTTTTGCCCGGTAAATTTCCATCTTTTTATACAATCCATAGTTCATAATCAACGAGTGAGCCATTCTTATTCTATGAGGTTTCATGGGGTGCCCAGCACCATAGGCGTAGTTTCCCACGTCTGCATCATAAAAGTAGGCCACACGCTTCTTCTGAGACTCGTCAACCTTGATTTCGTCGAATGGGAGCTGAGAATACATACTGAAGGAAGTGAGGGTGGAGATAAAAAAGTTGGCGGATGGCCGGTGCACGGGTGCACGAGGTGACGAGAAGAAGTATATACTTAAAATTGTCTTTTTGTTGTTATGAAGTGTCGTAGCTATCGTTCCTGTTCTCGTTCCCTTTGTACTTTTCTCTTGTATTCCGCCAATTGCTGGTTTAAGCGATACTGAAGTTGGGCATTATTGTACCATTTTTCGTATGCCTCCTCGTTAATGGGGAAATTGAGTCCATTGTGGTCTTCGGAGTATCTGTCGGTGACAGAGACTGGGAGTATCCAGGTAAACCATGATGGCCCCATAACTGCCTTCCAATTGTTCATCGTGCCCAAGTCGAAGATATTATCGAGTTTCTTCTGCTTACCGCTAGAGTCGAATTCGTACTGAAATCCCCCAGACGGTCCTTCGTTGGTTCTATTCCATCGAGACTCCTGGAACTCGATTGTAGTTCGGTTTTTAAATACAAAGTATACCAGAATCAGCATGAAGATACCAATGGCTATGGCGATTGCAGTACTCACGACGAATAAAAACACAAGATTGAGGCTTAGATACCCCTCGCTATACTTTTCGTCAACAAAGAACTTCCACAACACCGAGAGTGACACAGCACTAAGAAATGAAGCATACACTGTGACGTATATGATCAGCTGAATGAAGTACTTCTGGTTGTAATATCCAATACATGTTGCAAACCACGGACAATGGTGATCCATACGAAGCACACACCGATTGCAAGAAGAGCAATGGTGGCATCTATCAGGTTTCCACACACTACACTTGACACAATAACGGTAGGCGGTTGGAGAGTTTCCAGAAACGCTCAAACCTGGTGGATTCAGTCCAGTATTGAATGTGTGGACTTTGAGAAATTCAGGAGGTACGACCATATTCCGGTTGTATTCAGAGTCCGCTGTAGTACCCCGCAAGTCATCTTGTTCTGAATACGGGTTTTCTGGTCGATAAGATGGACGCTTCAAAGAAGATATATCATCAATTCTGAGCTCCTCAAAGTCGAGCGGTGAGCCACCACCTGATAATACTACCATGTAGTACAAGTACAAACACATTCCACAAAGAATAGCCGCTATAAGGCCCAAAAAGAGTCCGAGTATTGTCTTGTGTCTAGTCAAAATGTAGTCATAGTAGACGATATCGAGTTCCAAGACATATAAGGTCCATACCGACAAGACCGTGCACACTATTTTCGGAAAAAGTGACACCAAAGCACAACAAATGTTGCCGGGCAGCATCCAAGGCCGTCGCAATAACATTGTTACTGGAGGCGGCTCAGAATCTTGAATTTAGACGTGTGGGTGTACGGGTGTGGTTCTATGAAGATATGCTTAAGAGTTGGGTCTATGGATATGCAATTGGTAGGTATGAAAATCGAGTTTTCATTGTGATTTCTTCTCCTTCTCTGTCTGCGCTGCCTTTTTGCTTTTTTCCAGACTGCTCATCCATGCCTCATAGCCAATGCCCATGAATACTAGCAGCACTCCGGTCCATTGAGTAGGTGATAAAACATGGCCAAACAAAACCACACTGAGCATCATGCTGATCATTTTTCTTGTCACAGTAGCTGTGATGAGGATGAGCGAGTCAAAACGCTCGAGAATGATAAACACGAAAACTTGACCCAATGCGCCCAACAAGCCAAACTGGACAACATGCATAATTACCTGAGGATAATGCTTAGCAAAGTTGTATGTGTATGCAATTTCGCTGTCGAACCTAAAGAGGGCCGTGAAAGCAAGCGAATTTATAAAGATGAAGGCGTTCAAGATACACATTAGCCTGGCGCCGGTGAGCTTGACTTTAGGCTTAGCGGTATTCGCCCATTTAAAGAGCTGATCCTGGCTTGAGTTTGTTAGCCCGTCCAACACCATTGATGCCACGAGCTGGAAAAGCCCCAATGCTGTGTTTCCGTCGTTCATGCTGACTTTTTCGGGCCGCAAAGAGTTGGCAAATGTGAACACCACCACCCCCAACGTCACGGCACCAGCAACAACATATTTGTAGAAGGGGAATTTGGTCTGGTACAAAACCAGGTGAACCAAAATGACTGGTATGAGCTTGCAAGATTTGGCTAACAAAAACGCCAAATAATCGACATGTTTGAGCAGCTGGTATGCTACTGGTGATGAAATACTCAGGGTCAATGAAAGGATGAAAAGAGACCTCAAGTACACGGAAGAATGCTTCTTCTCGTTCCTGGTGAAGATGGTGAAAGGACTTGACTTGGAACTTATGACGGAATATACGAAACCAACAATACTGGCGAAAAGTGCTTGAACAGTGTTGATGATCAATGGTGATTTATAGAAATCAGGATGGCCGGTAGAGGGATTATTTCCATATGGTTTGGTATTGATTCTCTCTTGGAGCACGGACCAAGAAAGAAACGACCCATAAAGTCCCAATACACACCCAAGTAGAACTGTGACTTGTTTCATTGTAGCGTGCGAAAGAATAAGATTTCAATGAAAGAATTAAAATATATGTGAGAAATGAGATTATCGTGAAAATATTACGCACTCGTACATTATACACATTATGGCCCATCGGCCGAGGTATATCATCTGCCCCCGAAGAAGCCAAATAGTCCACGCTTCTTGCTATCTTCATCATTCATCGTGACTTCTGTGGGGGCCAGTTTGTCACTGGCAGAGTCGTAGCCTATGTAATTGAACGCAATGTCAAAGAGCACCGGCTTGCTTAAAACAGGCGTTATGATCACGTCACGCTTGAGATTGACAGCATTAGTATGATCTGAGTACTCGTAGATATTGTCAGTGCCGTATTTGTTGGTCTTGGTTTGCTGGAACTGGGCCAAAACCTGGGCTTGAGTAACCCGACGATTGACAACTTGAACAAACTCCTCGTAATCAGAATTGCTGGTTACTTCGTAGGGGAACTCTGAAATTGGGTAGGAGCCTGTTGGGTCGAGCGATTTTTGAACGTGGGAGTAGATCGCCAAGGCTTCTGGAGACTTTCCACTGTAATTAAAAGCATCTCCCAAAGTAACTATTTTCTTAGCCTCGAAAAATTGTTCCAATCTCTCCAAGCTTTTATAAAGATCTTCATCGTTGTACACACCAGGCAAGTCCTTGATTTCACCCGTGACACGGAGTACGTTGGAAAACAAACGATGAATATCTTTATAGGTTTCCAAGTAACCGTAGTTTCTGTCACCAAGTTCTTTGATGAGTAACAAGTCTCGTTTGATGGTGGTGAACAACAAGTTGTAATTAATATAGGTGAGTACAATAGCCCTATTTTGCGCCTCTTCCATATCGTCTTCATCATGGGCTTTTTCAGTGTCGGCTTTATGAAGATCCAATGCGCTACTCCATCCGGTAATGAAGGCGTCATAGCTGTCAGCAGACAGGAAATCTTTCCAGCTATCATCTTGTGTCAAATCCATAATTTTGAGTGATAATTCATCGTTGTACAAAGTAGCTTCATGGTCTCTCCATGAAACAGATTTGATGAGATTTACTTCTGAGGTGATGTCAGAAACACACAGACTGTCCAAATCTTGAATGAGCGTGACAGCAGGAATTAAAAAGGATACAACATCGTCGTGGCAATGTTTGCGTGCAGCAGACTTCATGTCAGATACATTATGGCCCATTTGTGATATGGCAAAAGTCAACGATGGGTCGACTATAGAATCCATGATTTCCTCAATGGCAGCTCTCTCCAAGTTTGTTTGATCCCCGTGCAACAAAAAGTAGTCTAACCCACAACGAGCCACTGAATATGCATGGATCAGTGCCTCCCACTTCTTCTTGTTAAGCGAATAAAGTCCTTGCACCAAAGCACTATACACGAAAGTTTCCAACACTACCAGCTTGCGGCTTTCGTTGGAAATCACAGCAAGCAAACGCTTACAATGAATCAAAGCCTTTTTGATTTTGCTGATCATCAATTGTCGGTAAGATGATAAGTTCTCATTACTAATTTCCATGGTGCTTTTGATCTCCGACGAATACATAAGATCTCTCTCAGCTGTAAGTAGAAGCAAAAGCCCGTATCTAGCATCTTTTTCGTATGCTTCAGGCGTCACCTGGGACGTTTTATCTTTGAATTTTTTGGTATCTTTGGTGACTATTTTCAACTCATGGCGTAAACGTAAAAGTTTGCGATTAATTCTTTTTCTTTGTTTCTTGAAATCCTCTGCTGAAGTCAAATATGCATTCAACCGAGCACCAATGGTATCGCCAAGTGGTGAGTCCATGATACTTTGATGTCCAAAGGTCGACAAGTTCAGACTTTGAGCGAGGAATGGTATGTACACGACTTGGAGGTTGGAAAAACAAAAATGGACGAGTCCGGAGTCGAACCGGAGACCTTTCGCATGCTAAGCGAACGCGCTACCAACTACGCCACACGCCCTTTCTTCTTTTGGGAAGAAGATGCAAGGAGATAAGACGTGTAGTAGGTTGACGATTAAATGAAACTACATCCGCGTCAACGTTCTGATTTATAATGGTTTCGATGTAGCTTTTGGTTGATGAAAGATCTTTATTTGTAAGTGTTCAGTAAAAAGAATTTATAGTAGCGGACGTATGATTTTCAAGTTCACTTTTTCGCAAAATTATACAAATTCGCGAAATAGCCTGCTAATACGAAGGGACAATAAGATATCACCAAAAAACCATACAGTTGTCAGGAAAACTACCTTATCTCCTTAGGGCTGTTGCCAGCCATTTGTATTGTTAGTCGCTGTAATCGTGTTAAAAAACTGCAAAAAGGTAAGAATGGTCCCTGGCGGGATCGAACCGCCGATCTTGGCGTTATTAGCACCACGCCTTAACCAACTGGGCCAAGGGACCTCTTCTGATGGAACTTCTCTAAAGTGCACCAAAGAGCTAGCCGGTTGATTGTTCCTTGGTTTTCTTGGTTTTCTTGATTTCCTTGGTTCTCTTTGGACCCCGTTTCCATGCTCCCGGAGGTCTAAAATTGAATATTCCGGTACAGTTGGTGTATGGAACATAATCATCAGGTAATCTAGTATCATCTCTTTTTAGCATTCCTAATGCTTGATAGATTGAAACCGGTTTCCAATTTTTTTTTGACATGTGTTTGGTTTTGCTTCTCAAATCTTTAAAAAAATTGCTCCAAGCTTGATCTTCTAAATCCCAAGTTTGCTCCGTTTTTCTCAGCTGAACGGCAGCATCAAAGTCGCCTTTCATGTCGCTAATGTCCCACCTCTCCCGCCAGGGCGTCCAGCCCTCAGTGCCGTCATTGGGATACATAAACATGGTGCCCTTCGGTACGTTTTCGTGAGGGTAGGACAAATCTCTCAGCAGCTCAAAGTGAGCCGAATGTTCCTGGGTAAATGAATTAGTATCGGTGCTTGGAACCCTCGAAGAATTATAAGTTGGGTGGGATTCAGCAGATGGTAATGCTCCCATTGATTCCAAGGGAAAGTGGCTTTGCATGCCGTGAGTAGGTTCCATTGAGCTCGTAAAGTCATATAGGTATTCACAATGAAGGGATAAATCTACACTAGCAAGTTCTGCCGCTGTGGGTAACGATACTAGTCGTGGAGTTTGAGACTCCGGGTCTTGAGCATGTAAAAACTCTAGTATTGGGTCTTGCTCTCCATTATTATCACCACCGCGCAGCCGACGCTGATCACCGAGATACTGCGGTCTGCTATTAATGGCTGCAACAAGCTCGTCGATATCATTATAAATTGGGAAGCTCATAAAAAATTACTCTCCTGCTTGTTACGATATACTCCTACATGACTGATATTGTGGAGCCAAGGTCAATATTAGCAGAACAGTTGGATATAGCCTACCAGCAGTACAAATTTCCAAATAGGAAAGTGGTTGCAACCGGTTAGGTGCAGGATATCAGGAGTAGGCCAAAAAATTAGGGAAAGAGTAAGTAATATCTGCTGATCTTGAGAAATTAATGGCCATGGCTACCAAAATGACGTCCTGAGTACATTATATCTAGAACGTTTACAAAAATGCACTATGTTCGTCAGCTTATTTGGTGACTCATATGCCATCCATACACCATCAACTATTTCAATGCTGCGCACTCATATTCTTCAGTGGTCCCACCATGAATACAGTATGGAGTCGAAAGGTACCACAGAGGCTACCTCACAGCCTTAAAACCCTTCTTGTAAATAAGAGAGCCTTATGTCAGTCATTTCCAGTCTCTAATAGTGCGGCAAAATTTCCTGAACTTCGTCCATCCGATCTTGATGCCGATGGTAACCCGGATTATATCAAATTGATTCTTACATCGAGGGTATACGATGTCGTGGAAGAGGGTGGACTGCCCATAACTCACGCTGTTAACCTCTCACAACGCTTTAACACCAATATCATTTTAAAGAGAGATGATCTTCTTCCGGTGTTCTCATTCAAGTTGAGAGGTGCCCATAATATGATTGCCAATCTTCAGGCCAATTCGAAAAAGCCATTGCCTGGCGTTATTGCGTGCTCTGCAGGAAACCATGCCCAAGGAGTTGCATATTCGTCTCATCGTCTTGGAATACTGGCTACAATAGTGATGCCTACCACCACACCTTCCATCAAATTCCGTAATGTTTCGAGGCTAGGTGCCCAAGTTGTCCTCTACGGTGATGATTTTGACGCCGCCAAGAAGGAATGTCTTCGTTTGGCATCTATCAATGGCTTAATTGACGTTCCCCCATTCAACCACCCATATGTCATTGCCGGCCAGGGCACCATAGCATTGGAGATTACACGCCAGTTGCGGCTCGACAAGTGTGATGCCGTATTCGTTCCCGTTGGAGGTGGTGGGTTGATTGCCGGTGTCGCTGTGTATCTTAAGAAAATTGCTCCTCATATCAAGGTTATCGGAGTAGAAACCTATGATGCTGATGCCTTGTACCAATCGCTTAAGGCTCGTGATATGAAGAAGTTGGACGCTGTGGGAACATTTGCAGATGGAACGGCGGTGAAAATCCTTGGCGATGAATCGTGGAGAATTTGTAAGGACCATGTCGATTCAGTGGTCAGGGTTCTGACTGACGAGTTGTGTGCTGCCATCAAGGATATCTTCGAAGATACTCGCCTGATAGTTGAACCTTCAGGCGCCTTATCGGTGGCTGGTCTTAAAAAGTATATTCTCGAATCTCCCGATACAGATCACAGCAGCAAGACCTATGTTCCTATCTTGAGTGGTGCCAACATGAACTTTGATAGACTTCGTTTCGTCAGTGAGCGTGCAGTTCTTGGTGAAGGACGGGAAGTTTCATTGGCAGTAACTATACCTGAGAAAGCAGGCGAGTTTGTGAAGCTTCAGGAAATCATTGAGCCTCGGGCTATAACTGAGTTTTCTTATCGGTATTCCAAAGACCCAGCACATATCTTTGTCAGTTTCAACGTGACGAACAAGGAGAAAGAACTTGCTGAAATTTCCTCTGCTATCGAGGCTCTTGGAAATGAAGTCATAGACATTTCGGATAACGAACTCGCAAAGAGTCATGGTCGTTATTTGATAGGAGGAAGATCTCCATCTTTGCAACGTGAAAGAATGTACCGATTTGAGTTCCCTGAACGCCCAGGAGCGCTTAATAAGTTTTTAAATGCGTTGAAAAGTGGATGGAATATAACCTTGTTCCATTATCGTAATCATGGCAATGACATGGGTAAGATTTTATGTGGGTTTGAATTACCACCAGATGCCAGTGAAGAGGACTTTCAACAATTTTTGGACAGTTTGGGTTACAACTACGTTGACGAGTCTGATAATGTGGTTTACAAACGATTCTTATAGTACGGTTTGTAATTAATGCAAGCTATATACAATTATATTGTCCGGCGAAGAAATGCTTGATAAGCTTCGTGATTTATGTGCACCCTTCCACTAGCCTTCATTTGCTTCTTGCCCTCCTTTTGACGCAGCAATAACTTTTTCCTTCTAGAAATATCCGCTGCATGCAACTTTTGAGTAACATCCTTTCGTTTCGCCTTGATTGTCTCACGAGCAACAACCTTATTATTAACCTTGGCCTGAATGGCAACTTCGAAGAGTTGAAATCTCAAGTACTCTTTGAAACGAACAACATATTCTTTACCTCTTGCCTGGACTTGAGACCTGTGCATCACCTGAGTGAGTGCATCTTGCGGTTCTCCGTTGACGCAAAGTTCCATCTTAACTATATCGGATTTTTTATAGCCAGCATCCTCATAGTCCAACGAAGCGTAACCTTTGGTACATCCTTTCAACTTTCCAAAGAAATCTTCCACCAACTGTGCCAAGGGAATTTCGTAGCGCATAAGAACTTGTCCATTAGTGAGGTATTCTAATTCTTTTTGAATGCCACGATTATTTTCACAAAGTGACATAACTGCCCCAATGTACTCATCGGGAATGGTCATAATGGCGTTGACATAAGGCTCCATAAGCTTGTCAACGTTTTGATTACGCAAATCTGAGCCTGGGAATTCATCTGGGTTGGTAACAATCTTATCAGTTCCATCTTTGTAAACTATCTTATAGGGAACCGTAGGAGCAGTCAAAATGATCTTTGCTCCGTATTCATTTTCGAGTCGTTCCTGAAAGACAGAAGCATGAAGAGAACCTAGAAAGCCCAAACGCCAACCCAAACCAAGAGCGTTTGAAGTCTCTTTTTCTAAAGTGACAGAACGATCATTCAACACCAAGTTGGCAATGTGGTCATCCATTACTTTGAACTCGGATCCCTCTGCTGGAAATGCCCCAACAAACACCATTGGTTTCGGCTCTTCAAAGCCGGGGAGTGCTTCAAGTCCTTCATGTTTTCCATACTGAAAAAAAGTATCTCCAATCTTGGCTTGACTTGGGTCCTTCATCCCAGGCACAATATACCCTACCTGACCAGCACGAATGCTTTCCATGGGAACCTTGTCTGGGTACATAATGCCAACTTCTTTCACCTCGTATCGTCCTTCAGTGTGAGCCGACAATAACTTCATGCCCTTTTTGATGGTTCCTTCTTTGACGTATAGAAGCATCACTACGCCAACATATGGATCGTGCCAAGAGTCAACTAAGAGAGCCTTTAGGGGACTGTTGATGTCACAGTCAGGGGCTGGAATGTGATCGACGATGGCAGGAAGGATAGACTTCACATTGAGGCCAGTTTTGGCACTTACTTGAAGACAGTTTTCACGATCGAGTTCAAAGGTTGACTCAACCTGGTCCATAGCTCGAGGTATATCAGCTGCGTCCAAGTCTATCTTGTTAATGATGGGTATTAATTTGAGTCCCATACTATAGGCCAAATAAAAGTTGGCTACAGTTTGTGCTTGAACACCTTGAGTTGCATCCACAAGCAAAAGTGCACCTCCACAAGAAGCGTATGACCTAGATACTTCAGCACGGAAATCAACGTGACCAGGGGTATCAACTAAATGCAACAAGTAATCCTGGCCGTTGCGGGGGTCATTAAATATCATTGTACATGTTTGAGCCTTGACAGTGATTCCTCGCTCTCTTTCAACATCCAACCGATCAAGAACCTGGTTCTTATCTCCAGGCTGTATGACCCCTGTTAGCTCTAGTAACCTGTCAGAAAGGGTTGATTTGCCATGGTCAACATGGGCCACAATGCTGAAGTTTCTATAGTTCTCCGGTGGGATTTTGGCGATGCGGTCGTATACCGATTTAATATAATTGTCACGATTTAGTGCAATTTTTCTGGCTTCTATTGTCGCTGCCGGCGAAGTGGAATATCGACCCAACACCAGTGGCCTTAGTAGGGGCGTTCGGGACCCATATCGAGCAAGTACTGTTCTACTTGAATGTATGTACATCTGAAAAATTCGCGATCAGAAACATTTGAAGTTGCACCTCTCAGAAATTTTATGGGCTCTACATATAAAAACGGGAGTACATAATCTGACTATTATATTAATGGACCTTTATATATTATGCTCTTTTCGTTGCAAACTCTTCGACAAACTGCGCTAAAGCTTGAACTGCGGCTAACAGAACCGCATTGTAAAGACTGGCTCTCATTCCTCCTACAGACCGATGTCCTTTGAGTCCTGTCAACTTTTGCTTGGCAGCTTCTGCCACAAATTCGGCCTCAAGCTCTTCGGTGGGCAACTTGAACACGACATTCATTCTGGATCTGTCTTGAGGACGGACAACAGTGGTATAGAACTTGGGGTACTTGTCAAGTGCACTGTAGAGTATTTTTGCCTTTTCTTCATTGGGTTTTCTCAATTGGTTCGACACCTCCTTCCTTGATGAGTTTGTCAGTGACAAGCTTGATCACTTGACAAGCAAAGATGGGGATAGTATTATAAGCTGAATTATTTTTCACCACAATTGGGTAATCGAACGCTATAGGTGACAATGGAATATTGAGTTTTTTCAATTCCTCGTCGCTAGCATGCTCCAATAAGCTCTTCTTGATAATGTAGATGGTGAGTCCGGCCAAACCAATATTTTTTTGGGCACCAGCCATAATCAATCCATACTTGCTCACATCGATCTTTTTGGATAAAATGTTGGACGACATATCGGCAACCAATTCGACGCCTTCAGGAAGGTAAGAAGTGTCGGGAACGTCTCTGAATTCGTTACCATTGACCGTTTCATTGTCGCAAATGTACAAGTAGGCAGTCTTGTTGGCATCAATTGGTGCCCATGAAGAGTATGGAGGGATCTCTGTGTACTTGGACGACTTTGTATTCACGACCACATCCACGTCAAACCCAAGTCTCTTGGCTTCCTCAGCGGATTTCTGAGACCATGAGCCAGTAATGGCGTAGGCAGCTTTACCTTTGGTGCCTGTCTTTTTGGCGTAGTTAGCAAACATGTTGTAGGCAATGGAAGAAAAACCGGTAGTACCTCCACCTTGCATGAAGAAGACCTCATGGGTATCAGGAATATCGAGAAGCTTCGTCAAGTTTGCCTTTGTATCGTCAATTACTTTAATGGCTGGCTTGGATCTGTGGGAAATCTCGCCAATTCCCAAATTTTCACCACCATAGGTAATCAAGTCCAACGCCGCTTCTTGAAGTACTGAAGTAGGCAATAACGCCGGGCCAGCACCGAAATAGTATGGATCTTCTCTTTCTAATGAGCGAGCCATAATTGTTAAGATTGAGAAATCAAATGAAAGCAATTTGGAAATTTCGCACGAGTCACCATGACTCAGAGTTCTGTTACGGCTCGAATTTTAAAGGACCAATAACAGTAAAGACTTCTGGTGAGTTATAGACGAGTTAGTCATCATCGTAACGAGCAGCCATGATATAGTATACCACTTCGACATCATCGGAGTCTTTGAGTAGTCCATGTACCACGCATGCCCGGTTCAGTGACATCAAGAAGATAACATTTTGACAGGTGGAAACGATTTTTGGAAGCCATTGTTAAGTCCTTGATATGTACGAGGATATCGTGCTCTTCATTCTGGCCCAATTGACTATGGTCTATTGTCAGTCGAAGTGATTCTCCCTCTCCAATATCAGCCGGGTTGTAGATCTCTAACTTACTATTCCAACGTATTATAACCTTGATCTTGTTTTCCTGGTCCACTATGAACCGAATTGAACCCCCATCTTTGCCTTGGGCTTGTATTTTCACCAATTGGTTACTGTCGAATTTATCAAGTCGTCGAAACGCACCGCTAAAATGCTGTGGAAGCTTCAACATCAAGTCTACATCCAGTATCTGCGGCTCCACATATTCCTGGCCAGCAGATTTTAAGATTTTCACGGGAATTTTGAAGGTGTGGTTCACCGGGCGCATTCCAACAGAAGTGTTCGTGTAGAAAAGTGCCAATGATGCATTTCTTCCGCTGGAACCAGAACTCCCTTCTTCACCATTTGAGTCCTTCTTTTGTAGTCGAATATTAAGAATGTCGCTGCTTGCTTTATCGTAATTTCGGAGGGTTTGTAGAAATAGATCAATGTTGACTTCGAGCAGAATCACGTTTTCATGTAGCGATTGTATTTCAATACTGTCAAACACAGACTTTACGTTGAGTTTGCACCATGCTTGGGGCTCGGGGACCATGGCAGTAGGATGAACCAGAATCACTATCAATTTTTCTGGGGTGAATCGTAGTACCACAAATTTGCGAAGCAGACTGACAAGCGAAAGTGTAGTCCTGATTGTCTCGGTATTTCGAGCCTGTAGTTTGAGTTTCATATTATGGATTGGCGCGTTATAAAGAGGGCAATTGTGATGCAACTGTGATGCGATGGTGGTGAATTAGATGCGTTGGTGATGAGTTAGATCCGTTGGTGATGAGTTGGTGATGAGTTAGATAAGTTTATGATGTTAACAAGTAGACTTCAATACGTAAAGTAAGGCTGTCCTATTATTGTAGTGAGCTTTTAACCTCAGAGAAATATGTGTGAGAAGTTGAAGAGAGCGAGAATCTTGAGCGACCAACTCTACCTAAAAGCGAACAAGTTCATTTACATTTCTATGCTTCTAATATACACTATGCTTTCACCACAATCACCACCGAGTCGCCTCTCAAAAACAACTTGGACACAAATCTCTCCTTCGACACAGAATTCACTACCTTACCTTTGCCATTCTTGACGCTTTCCGTCCATAATTCTTTTACATTTTCCAAAACCATGTTACAATGACGGTCGAAGGCTTTCACCCTGGCCACCATCTTGTGGTTATTTCGACACGATATTACTACTGGTGTATTATTATCCAAAGCGTTTTGAAGCAACGACATAGGGCCGTGAGCAAACTCAAACTCTTCGAGTTTCTGAAGCTCGAGCTCAGTAAGTTCTGATCGTGGTCTGTCGATTAAGTCACTGGGTTAGTACGAAGTTGCAAATATGGTGCTGCTAATACTTACGACATGGTTATATTGTGAGAGTTGTTTCAATGTTAAAAGGTGATTTTCGCGCGATGAATGCAACAGCTGCGATGGCTGCGAATTTAAACTACAATTACCATAAACTAGTATACATTACTTTTTCTCGTATTGACTCAAAGGAGCGGTAAGCCCACATCCCCGCTTGATTATGTTCTCAATCCGGCTCTTAAGAAACCCAGAACCACAGTCTACTTGCAAATCAAGCAAATTCACCGTGGCTTCATTCTTGCCTATCTTGATTTTGGCACTGTTTCCGTTATCCAACATGTTCAATGTGTCACCAAATTGGGCTCGGAGCAATGCAGATATACGTGCTAAGCGCCCAGAGATCTGGTTGTCGGCATGTGCAAATTTGGGCAGAGGTGGAGGTTTTTCTGGTTCCGCTTCTTCTCCATTTTCTTGCTTTACCGAATGCGAGTGTGGTTTAGACGACAACTTTACCGACGCTGGAGACGAGTCTATCGAGTAAAGGATGGCTACCACGCTATCAGCCAACGAATCAGCCATCAAGTTATCGTTAATCCATTCCACCGTTATGAATAATCCACCTCCAGTGGTCTTTGTTCGATCCACAAGCACTTCGATTTTATCCATTATGAGACACTCCCATTCTTCCTCGTCGTCGTTAACTATATTGATGTATCCAAACATTTGCTCCAAATGCCACTTCATCAACGAGATGTCAGCATTGATCTTTAAGCTTATCTTTGACTTGAGAATCGAGGTGGAAAGCTGGGTATACTCATGCAAATCTTGCATTTGGAGGAAGCTGAGGTCAAAGTCCTTCGATACAAGCACACCAGCTATGGTATGACCGGTTTTGATTGGTTCTGAAGTGTCACCATTAACTTCTCCATCAGTCGTCTCGTCCATCTTTGACTCGTCTTCCTTTAGTTTTTTGCTGATATCCTTCTGGAGCTTGGCCAATTCTTCCTCGGCAAGATTGCCCAAGACTTTAGCAATCTTCAACCCTCGAATTCCGATCAGAAGCTCGTCACAATTTCTGGGATTGAAAACCTTGACCTCCTGTTCAGTGCCTTTACGACTCGAATATTTACTCAAAAGAGCAGATTTCAACCGACCCATGGGATTACTCTCACCGTGAACGAGAATGATCTTCAGTGGATTAATCATGTCTATAAAGCCTGCATTTTCCTGAAAGTCAACATGAGCTGCAAATGAAATCTCCTCGATGGCCATACGCCTGGGAATCGTTACATCAGCATTCTGCAGTGACTGGATTGTGTGAGGTTCGGTCAAGAGCTCTTTGGCCATAGTTCCCTCTACGGAGTATCCAGTCATGATCACCGCATTTTTGGCATCTGGAGCCCACCGTTCGAGAAGCTCACGAGAAACGCCATTCTGAAGCATACCAGGCGCCGCTACCACAACACAGGGTCCGATATCCTGAAACTTGTCAAGACTTCTAATCAACTTGATATGCTTAAATTGAAATGGGTTCAGTTTTCCTCCTGAAGCAGAAGACACCCCGTGACGAATGTTATCGTTCATGATATTGGTGTAGGTCTGGTATACTGCCATACACTTACGGGCCAAAGAAGATGCGAAGAACACATTTATGTTGTGGAGGTCCTCGTTTTGCAGCCAGTACTCCTCGAGAATCAACAACAATTCCTGAGCTCGACCCAAGGCAAACACCGGCATAAGTATACGGCCTCCCTTAAGTAGGGTCAGATGAATTATTTTGGTCATTCGGGCCTCTTTCTCAAGACGAGGTTCATGAGTGGCAGTTCCAAATGTGGACTCCGTGATCAAGATATCTGGTCTCATAGGCGGGACCTCAGCCACCTGCAAATGTCTATCTTCCTCTCGTGAATAGTCACCAGTAAACAACACTTTCAACCCTCCGATCTCGACAAAGTACATACAAGCACCCAAGACGTGACCAGCATGGTAGGCAGTAAATCTAATTCCTTCCACTTCGATTGTGGAGTGGTAGTCTATGGTTTCGATTCTGTCGAATGATCGAATCAAGTCGTCATCCGTATACAAGTTGCTACTGGTAGCAGTTTCATTACCTGAATTCAACCGTGAGTCTCCTCCACCACCTATTGATGTGACTCGAACAAAGTCACTGAGTAACCATCTATAGATGGCTTTTGTAGCATGAGTCATGAACACCCGTCCATTGAAGTTTGTGTGTTGCATGACATACGGTAACGAAGCAGCGTGGTCCAAATGGAAGTGACTAATGAGCAAAATATCGACTTTTGACAAATCGTATTCGTCGTAGAACGGAAGTGAACTAAGACCAGCGTAACCAGGATGGACACCAGCGTCAAGCATGATCACCTTATTCTTGTATTCGATGATATGACATGACCGACCCACTTCATTACATCCTCCAAGTCCGAAGAACCGGAAGTTGTCGTCGTCCACAGTCATGGTGAAGAAATGATTTTCGCGAGAAGAATTGAGAAGTGAGAAATGAGAAATGAGAAATGGCTGCGAGATTACAATGATGCGGTTGCCCAAAAATATTCGTTTCAATATCTTACTCTTTTCTAATATTACCTATACTCCCACTCTCAACACATTTTGCCTTTGGTGACGAAACTTGATCACTTCATGTCGCTCAAGTATGTACAATGCCTTGTCAAGAGCAGCTATACTGGCCTTACCCGAATCAACAATTTCTCTGCGTAAAGTACGGTAGGCCGTCGACCACCCAATAGGCAAGCGCCTACGGAGCTCATTTTCCACTCTTTTGATCTCTTTGCTCATTTCTCCCGAAGTAACCAATCCTCCACTGGAGACACCTTGATCCACAGCGTCCATAGTAGAGGCAGTAAACAAACGAATTGCCTCTTCAACATGATCCTCTGTTGCAACAGGAGACAATTGCAACTTGGCGAGCGATTCCGTTATACGAATAATGGCTTCGAGTTGTCTCACTGTGATGGGAATCGACGACCTCTCATTCATATCGGCTTCATTAAGTTGTAAGCGTCGCCTTATAGCAACAAAATGGGAAGATAATCTCTCGGATGCATCGGCGCTCAATCGAGGAGCACACCGCAATTTGCAGTATTGGATATATCTCTTCATCTTGTCCACTGATATTTCACCTTCTTGTAAGGAATCCTGATTATTACTGTTGCCAGTGTGTACGTTCATCACATGTCTGGCAATAGACAAGTCTCTAGCCTCGTTATGGTCGTCCTTTACAATGAAAATCATATCGAAACGAGACAAAATTGTGGTTTGAAAATCAATGTTCTCACCGGGACTCTTGAGATCATCGTAACGACCGAAAATGGGATTAGCTGCAGCCAATACTGAAGTTCTCGAGTTCAAAACGGTAGTGATACCAGCTTTGGCAATGGAAATAGTCTGTTGTTCCATAGCTTCATGAATGGCAACTCTATCTTCATCTCTCATTTTATCAAACTCATCAATACAGACAACACCTCCATCTGCAAGGACCATGGCACCACCTTCCAAGTAGAAATCTCTGGTCTGAGGATCACGTTGAACCGAGGCGGTTAAACCAGCAGCAGAAGAGCCTTTACCCGAAGTGTAGACCGCTATAGGGGAGATTTTCTCCACAAATTTCAAAAGTTGAGACTTGGCGGTACCTGGATCACCAAGAAGAAGTACATTGATATCACCACGCAATCTCATACCGTCGGGTAAGACTTTCTTGGACCCACCCATCAAAAGACATGTTATAGCCTTCTTGATATCATCGTTCCCGTAAATCGAAGGAGCGATAGACTTTGCAAAGATATCATAAATGTTTGGCGTCCTAGACAACCTAAGAAATTCCTCTTCTTCCTCTTCGGTGAAAGTCAAACCCTGGTCTCCGGGACCACCCTCGACATCTGTTTGGAAACTGAGTACACGAAGGTAAGGGTTTCTGATAGCCACCGTTGAAACATTAGCATTGGCTTTCTGCCTGGACTGGTATATACTGTAGATTCCAACAATTGATACTCTTGTACCTGGAACCACCTGGTTGGTCATATATCTGTCTGCTTGAAGAATAATGTGCCGTGGCATTTCACCCACGGGGACCATATCGGGAGATTCTTGGAGTTTGAGTACTTGCTGGTCCACAAATGTCGATTTATCATGGACAATGGTGTAGGGTTCAGGAGGACACTTTGTCTGAGTTGTAGATTCGTCGAAATTGTGAGCACCTTGGCACCTGTTGGGCATGCTTATTTGGCCAAACCCACTGGCAACTTTGATTCTCATCGTATGTTTGCAATTGCGGCATAAGAGTTGGACTTGGGTTGCTCTGGAAGACAAGACTGACGATGAGATTATTATTCCACTAACTCTGACAATCCTGGAGATATGGTCCGAGTCCAAGTGACGGATGGACACATTGCCTGCGTTGGAGTATAAAATGAGCTGGCATATGGGGAAGTTTGTGGGAACTTCTTCGTTACTTAAATAAGCGATTCTTTTTGCAATTTCTGTAATGGCTGCCTCGAAGAGAGGAATCATCTCTGTAGGTTCATCAGCCAACTTCTTGTTGAGTTCATCGTTGAATCCAATTAGATGGTCTGTGTTTACGCGCAAAAAGTAGTTTTTGATCAACAAGTTTTCTCGGAGTTGGTCTCGGTAAATGAACTGGGAATTGAGACGAAATTCAAGAATAAAAGACCTGAACGCCTTTGTGATTTCATTAAACGAGTTGTCTTGGGGTTCTTCTCCTGGAAGGACCTGGGCACCGAATACATCGCCTCGTTCGAAAGACATGATATTGGATGAAGAAAACGAAGGGAAGAGATTATGATGCGCGGGACGTGTACGTTGGCCCAAAAGGGAAAAATTACGTGCATTTTGACGGATATGTAAGTGCATGCAGGTTTACTCAATTCTACTATAGACGTTATGCTACGATTTAGACACTTTTGTGGGAGCCTGCGCCATATATCAACTTCTGGTCATCTCTTCAAACTCCTCAAGAAGAATGAGCTTCCGCCTCGGCCAAAATGGCTTATAGTGGAGGAAGAAATCAAAGAGGTATTTCTAAAAGGTGGAAGAGGACCAGGAGGCCAAAAGATCAATAAAAGTAATAGCAAGGTCCAGCTCACCCATATACCGACCGGTACAGTCGTCACATGTCAGTATTCTCGATCTCAGGAGCAGAATCGGAAAAAAGCTCGAGAAATATTGGCTCTCAAACTTGAAGAGCTTCAGAACCCACAGGGTTGTAGAACTGCCGTTCTCCGAGATCGTGAGTCAAAAGTTAAGCTCAACAAGGCAAAAAAATCTTCAAGAAAGTATAGGACAATAGAAGAACAACGGCGACTAGAGCAGGCCATCGAAGATAAAGAGAATGAAACTTTGATAGATATCGAAGAAGAGTTTGAATCTCTAAGAGAGAAACTCACTAAAAGACTGTAATATACACTATTCTACACTACTATACATTTACCCACCTTTGTATTGTTTCCATTCTTCCAACGTTTTGAGCGAATCTTGCCAATTCTTGCGTACAATTTCCAATTCCTTCTCAAGTTTGTCAACAGTTTCACTGGAGTAAGCTCCTCCATAATTGGCCATCTTTAGCTCCACAAGCTCAACGACGTTATGATAGTGTTTGTAGATGTTGTTCAAAAATGGCTTTGCGAGTGGCTCGAACGCTTCTATGTCATTGTTGAGATCTTTTGAGCTGACACTATTGAGGGCCTCAGAAGTGAGTTCTCGCAAGTCAACTATTTCAGATGGGCTGGGGACGTCCGCTAGCGTGCTGCTCATGCCATTGTTGAGATTCAGGACGTAGTTGTTGATCAGTGATAAAAATTTGGAAAACTTGTAGTTTTCTCGTATCAAATTCTGGACCATTTCTGTCAACAGATTGGCAATTGTCTCATATTCTTGGCTCACAATTGGTGTGAGCTTTCGAGGCAGAAGCGCTGTACTTGAAGCAGCATTATTGACAATGGGAGTGTTATTGTAGATGATATTGGGGTTTACGGTCTCATTCAAATCATGTGAACTGGTTGCTGTATCTGGTGATGGATATGGAAGTCCCATTGTCAATGTCGACGACAAGTTCCTCTTCTCCAAAAGCTTTGATTTTAAAGACGTTATCTCGATATTTCGACGCCTTATTTCGACTCCATACTTGGTTTTGATGTCCTTGCACCAGTTATTGAGTCGATTTAAATCTTGTGATTGGAGTTTGTTTATCTGAGTCAAAGATTGTACCTTTTTGTTCAATTGGGTATGGTCAAACTGGTAAAGCTTACTGATTTGCATCTGTTGTTGCGATACTTGGGTGGTTAACTGGTCGATTTTTTTGTTCAAGTTGGCAATGGTGGCATCTTTCTGGGACAATTGGCGATTGAAAGCCTGGTTCTGTGCTTTATTTCGCTCTATTGACTTTAAAAGCGAAAAAACAATGTTTATTATGTTTTTGTCATTATTGTAAACAACATCGGTGGTCTCAAGGGAGACTTGTTGTGGTTGATCTGACAGCAAATGGGACCAATCAATGGTATTAAAGTAAAGCTTTTCGTCCACATAGCCTTTGGAAAGAAGGGTAGAGTTTATTAGGTCTGCAGCGTTGCGGAGTGACTCGATATCTAGATAAGACATGTTAAATTTGGTGAGAAATAAAAAATGAGAAGTTGATGAAAAAATGCTACTATGGGGTAATACCAATAATTTTTATATCTACTTAGTGATGCTCTTCTTCCTCCTCAAACACAAACCAATCCTCGGCTGGAGCGGCTTCTCCCTTTGGAGCAGATTGGGTCTCTACTTCCGCAGACTCGTAGGCAGAAACTCCATCGGCAGAGATTTCCGATTCTGGAACAGATGGCTTAGCTGGCAATTTGAAAGGCTTGACGGCCTCTTCGGCGTCCTTGGCAGAAATTGGGGAGGGCTTGAACTCCTTGATGTTTTGGATGTACAAGTCAGAAACCAAGTTGCATCTTCTTGATGCGACAGAGAAGGATCTGGTTAAGCGCTGAGTTAGTATGAGCGAGAGATAAGGGGAAACACTGAATCAAGGAAATGAGGGTCTTTGCAATTGCATGAAATATGGGCCATGTTCTGGAAGTGAGTAATCATAAAGATTGGTGAGGTTAAACAAATAAATGACAAATATGACGATGAGAATACCAAAAATTGAACGGTAATTGTACTATAATTGTGTCAGAAACCGATGGTTTTGTTCATATTCGAGATCTTATTCAACTTTCAAGTCATTGACTTATTTTCCGTTTCAAAGAAGCGCCTCTTTGACTTTTATAACCACAAATTTTCATGCATACACCTCTTCCCCAGCATACGCGCAGTCAACATAATAGAACTGTGTAGCCCCCTGTTTAGCTACTTACCAATGACTGTCTAAACATGGTGTCTGTGAGCGACTCAATGATTCTTCACCCGACTTCGGGTCGCGGGCGTGCGCACACCGCTTTTGTGAGAGTGTCTGATTGGCCGGTTTCCGGATGTCTTTACTAGGTGATGCCCAAGTACTATTGTGACTATTGTAAGTCATACCTTACACATGACACCTTGAGTGTTCGTAAGTCACATTTGTTAGGCAAGAACCATATTAGATACTACTGCAATTACTACGAACAAAAAGCAAAAGAATCAGGTATATGGGATCCTGTCGATAGTCCATATGAAGTCAACTTGGATTATATACAAAATGGAGCTCCAGGAACTTCCTACAGTAAACCCCAAAAGTTTATGCTTCCCCCACCTCCATCTCTAGGTGGTTTTCCCGCTCCTCCACCGCAAGCGGTAGATTATACCAAGGAAGATGATGCGGCTGTTGCAGCCATGCGAGAAGCAGAGAATCAATGGTAGTAGAATTAAAGCGTAGAGCGCTCAGATTAACAAGATTTTGGTAAGGGAGACAAATGTATAACTAGCCATCAATACAGGTCAAAAGGCTGACCCACTAATAGAGATCAATAAAGTTACATCATCATAATTCTACACGCAATTAATTGATTATTGATTGCTATTTATTCTGAACGATGCCAATGTGGCTACGGCGCCTCATAGACCCATTGTCATCACGCAGACGGCGCTCGCTGAGGAAACTACAAATCAGCATCATCCTCATCGGGCAATGGCAAAGCCGTGGCCTGGTCCATCTCTTGCTGGTATTTTTGCATCAACTCGGCATCCACCTGGACCTCAGGAGGAGCCAAGGCTGGGGCAGCCACAAAGCTCAATTGTGGGTTACCGACCAACTTTCTGGCTAACCACAAAAATGGCTTTTCAAAGTTGTAGTTGGATTTGGCGGAGATGTCGTAGTATTGCAAGTTCTTCTTTCTGTGGAATGTGATGGTCTTGGCCTTGACCTTTCTTTCCTTGACATCGACCTTGTTTCCACACAACACAATTGGAATGTTCTCGCAAACTCTCACCAAATCACGGTGCCAGTTGGGAACATTCTTGTAAGTGATTCTAGATGTAACGTCAAACATGATGATTCCACATTGACCGTTGATGTAGTAGCCGTCTCTCAATCCACCAAACTTCTCTTGTCCAGCGGTATCCCACACATCAAATTTCAATTCACCAAAATCGGTGTGGAAACCTAAAGGATGCACCTCTACACCCAAGGTGGCGATGTATTTCTTTTCAAATTCTCCAGTCAAGTGTCTCTTGACGAAGGTGGTCTTACCAGTACCTCCGTCTCCGACTAACACCAATTTAAATGTTGGAACTTCTTGGGCCATGGTTAGTGTTGCTGAGGAGTGTTGTTTTTTTGTGATCGAAAATTTTTCGCACACACCCCGATGATTTGTCAGGGACAACCGCGGCTTATGTCAGCCGTCTCACTCCGCGAATTTTCCACTGCCCCTCGTGGTGGTTGGGCCGGAAGCGAAATTGCGCGCCTAATCAAGGGTCGCGGCTGCCGAGGGCCGCCTTCGGGGTACAACTTTGTGCGTTTCGGTGCATCGTTTTTCGCAAACATGCCTACTGCGGTATTGACGATCTTTCGTTTCGCGCCTTGCACGGACGAAAAATAATCCCACGCACTTGACCTCAGTCGTACCGAACTAGTTCCCCGCGCCGCAACCAATAACTTCGCACCATAAAATTCCCGCCTGATGCTGGTGTCTAAGGGTGCAATATGCGTTTGCAAATCTTTGCAAGATATGAATACTTGAGCTAGTGTTGTAGTCTTATGTCGTTCATGTAGTTTCCGTCTCTTTTGATATTACTTTCCCTGTTTCACCTAGACTGTAGTTGCGGTGGTTACTGGCGGGGCGACATTTTTTTCTTTTTCGCGACTATAGAAACCTCACCGTTATTCTTTACTTGGCGTCACCTTATTGTTTTTTGGCATAGCTTCGTCACCTTAGGTCTGCAGTTGCACTTTCCAGCACCTGACCCTTGTCTTTCGTTGTACTTCTGGCGACTCTTCATTCAGACTCAAAACGATATCTGGATACGGGTTGACGATTTCTTCGTAACTACCATTATTACCCACGTACTCACGACCGCCGCCAGGCATTGATACCAGCGTGGAATACAAACACACGTCCGTTTGTTCACCTCTCGTCGACTACAAAATTACACATTCGCCGTTTTTTCAGTGGAAAGTTACAGCCAATTTGAAAATATCACCAACTGAAAATTAACACTTTTGGCACTTCATCTTCTATGATGTATCCATATCAACCATACTACCAGTACTACCCGTACCAGGGCTACCAGCAGCATCCAAATCCTCAGCCATACCTGTCTTATCCATATGAGCAACCTTCCGTGGATCCTCTTCCCCCACAGCCCATGCTCCCGTCGAACTTATTTTCGCCCTATGTTCCAGCGGTTCCTTCTATGCCACTGTCGCAGTCTATGGCACCATCGCCTATGTTGAGACAGTATATTGCCAACATGCCGGTGCCCCAGCAGCCACAAACTGCTCCACAATCGCCATATCTCACCCCGCTTAACAACAACAATAGCTTGGACCAGCTCAATCTCTCACGCACGGTGGTGCTCAAGAACATTGACAAGGAAGTGTCGCTTAACCAGCTACTTGGTGAAATTGACCATGGGCCCATTGAATACTGTAAGATGTTCGAACGCCCAGCCCCGAAGCATATCACCGATTGCGACACCGTCAAGTACTGTTACATTTCATTCATCAACTCAAAAGTTTCTATTTGCTTCCACTTGAAATACTCCAAGAGCAATTACAATCTCACCAAGTTAAAAGAGCGCCTTAATGACTCTAAGCACCTTAAGATTCTTCTCAATGAGACGTACCAGAATCAGGGTGGTATAGGCGGTCGCAGCACCAACAAACAAGACTATATCAAGCTCAAAACCCTCAATTACATCATGGAGTTCAACGCCACTCGTTGTGTACTTATCAAGTTTGATGTGTCTCCTGCTTTCTCTGAAAATGATCTCGAATTTAACAGTCTCAAAACTAATGTCAAAGAAACCTGCTCCAAATATGGCGAGGTGGAGGACTACAAGGTTACGTTCAACAAGGAAAAGCGCGAGTTCAAAGCAACGGTCCATTTTACTTCGATTGATGCGGCCATCAAGACCTATGAGTACTTCTTGAAACGCATTCTGGTGGAAAAAATGGATAGGGATCACGACGACGTGGATTTAGTTGTGGACGCTAAAGTTACGGCTATAAATTTCCACAAAGACCGTTGTGACCGTACTGACTTGGAGAAGCGCCCTCAGAGTAGCATTCCTCGAAGTATGATGTCAGAAACGTCGCTATCGAGCAATTCTCCCCATCCTCTTCGGGAAGAGGTAACTATCAATGAAAAAACCAAAAATGTGACTTCGGAGGACTCAGTTCAGAATGCCGATACCACCCTGCTGGAATCTGCGGGACCGGTTGATGGTGATTTGACATTTGAAGATTCGCAAGATCTTCACATTTCCCCTCCAGGATCCCCCATATTTAGGAATGAAGGTGTCATTCTCACTCCTCAGTCCACCGCTGCATCGGAAACTCACCTGTACAATAGAAATCCAGTCAGAACCCACGGTTCCGCACCATTCCCTTATAATCCCGATCCCTTCAATATCGGTAATAGAACTATTTACTTGGGTAACCTTCATCCAAGTTCCACTATTGAAGAGATTGCTAATAACGTACGTGCTGGAGGACTAGTTGAGTCGATTAATTATCGCCCCGAGAAACGTGTGTGTTTTATTACATTTGTGGACCCTAACATTGCTCTCAAGTTTTACTTGAATCATCAAGTATTGCATCAGCTTATTATACATGGATATGACATTACAGTTGGCTGGGCCAAGAATCATTCTGGTCCCTTGAGCAGAGAAGTTTCGTTGGCGGTGACTGCTGGGGCATCTAGAAATGTCTATATTGGGTTCAAGCTGAAAAGGGATGATATGGACCCGACATTAAGCACCAAAATTGATCCGGAGAATCAAGTGCCATTGCCAAGCGAGGAACAATTGCGAGCAGATTTCTCCAAGTTTGGTGATTTGGAGCAGATCAACTTTTATCACAACCGCGATTGTGGGTTCTTAAACTTCTTGAATATTATTGATGCTATTCATTTGGTCGAGATGTTTGAATCTCAAGATATAGAGAAGATCAACAGCATTGCTCAAGATGAGGGCCAGTTTTACGAAAGGTATGGAAAATTCAAAATAAGTTTTGCAAAGGACAGATGTGGAAATCCTCCAAAGTTTAGCTACAAGAAGAGATCAAGAAGACGTGAGAGAATTGATTTCACCTACAATGGCGAAGAATTGCCAATTATTGGAGAAAGATCGTCAAGAGCAGGGAATGAGATTTTCCGTGAAAATGGCATTGATATCAGTGAATCGAACCAAAAAATTCCCAAGGAAGCAGCTATGGTATTTGGAATTACTAGCAAGGATAGTGATTCCGAGAAAGAAACTTTTAATGAGCCGGATTTGCCTGCTGTCAAGGGCTTACTGCTTGGTGGAGAATCTAGTGACGAAAAAGGCGTCGATTCCACAAAACAGGCGTTTGAGGGAGATTCCAAGCATGATGGGAAAGCTGGAAAGGAACATAAAATTACAATTGAAGAAGAAGAAAAAGCTTACGAAGAGGAGGAAGACGACGAGGAAGAGGAGGAAGACGATGATGTTTCCATCATTATAGGATCTGATGACACTGCTTCCACTACGGCTAACAATAGCAACAAGGAGGACACAAAAAGGTCAAGTTATTTCAAGAACAAAACAAACACCAATGTCAGAAAGCCATATCGCAACCTTTCGAGTTCTTCCCTCAACTCGCAGGGCCACTATCATAAACCCTACGAGCCTCATTATAGCAAGTTCCCTCCTGCTCCATATCACCACCAACAGCCACACCATTACTATATGCCTCCGCAAGGCCCTCCACGCATGAATTACGGTTACTATCCTCCTACGCCGGCGCCAATGCCTCCGCAGTATCCTCAATATCCTGCTTCTCGAGGACAGTATTCTTCTTCAGGATCGCAAGTTATGGCGCAGTACCTAGCCAAAGCTCAACATGACAATTTGCTTTATGCAGCTAGCGTTCTTTCTCATGATTACGATTTTGAAGGAGACTATAATTATGGTCGTTAGATTCCAATATATACAAATGCGCTTCATGGTATTGTCTTATGTTACAATAGAAATTGATGCGATTGTACCCACCACAGAACATACGAAACCCACTGCCACGCCAATATACAATAATGTTCTTTGGAAACTGGTGATTTGATCTTTCATCAACACGAGATAGAACAAGAGTGGGCAAGTCATACACATGGTGAATACCACGGCACTTCCCAAAAATGCAAGAACCTTGCCAAACAGTGTGAACACGAGCGACATGGCTAACATGAACGCAAAGAAGACCATTCGAGAAACTATTTGACCAGTGGAATAGTTTTCCTCTCTTTGGCCGTTTTTGACGACAATAGTGGAAGATCCCAAGTGGAAGTAGCTTTCATAAACGTTTACCACTGGTTTAGCAAGTAATGGTATCTTTGAAATAGGCAATAAACCCATGAGTATACATATAGCTGGAGTAACCCACAGTGGGAAATTTGCGTTGGACATTAAATTTTTGGTGATGGAATCTTCACATTGAGATCCAAACATGAGGTAGCCAGCTACCGCAACCAAGTAGTTGAGATCAAAAACCAAAAAGAATGAAGTGTTGGCCACTTTAGGATACTTCAACGGATGTCTCATGTCACGATAGAGTTCTGGAAACACAGGATGACCACCCCATGGAGCCATAAAGATGCCAAGGCTCATAAATACTTCCATTGCACTTTTAGGCCACCAGGATGTAGCGGAAGGGTGGAGTAAGGAGCCTGGAGAATTGGAGGTGAAAAACCCACAAATTATGAGGATGACGATTAATGCGTTGGTGCAAAGAAGGCCCAACAAACTAAGAAATGAAAGGGTGGAAAGCAGGAGAAATGAGAGGCAGAAGCTTGCCAAAATCAATATTGCTTTATAGGCTGGTTTGGGAATTTGTGGGTACAAAAGAAAGAATGAGTCTCCGAATAAAATAACCAATTCCACCAAGGCACCCAATAAATCCACAATGAATATCGCTGTGACCACATAATGAGCAGTTTTACTTCCTATGCTCGACTTGTGGCCAGTTTGCTCAGCAATGTCCCCATAGCTGTTCAATGAAGGGTATCGTTTTAAAATTCTTCCGAGCATCTTGGCAGTCATTCCTGTGATGTACGAGCTAGATGCGAGGATAATCGTACCAAAGATCCATCCAGAAAGTCTAAATCCAAACGGAAGAGATAACATGCCAATTCCTATCAATGTGTTCATCGAGTTGAATATCGTTTGTGGTACAGTGGACTCTCCAGTGCGAGCAATGGTTGAGCTGGAATGACTCAGTCGTCTGATCAACGTAGTAGTTTCATCATGAGGAAAGTCAAAAGTGTCAATTCGATTAAATTGATGAGGCAGATTGCCCACAGACGATTCTTCGTCATCTATAGCACTTTCTGACTGTCCGGATGGTCGAATTGAAATCAGTCCTTCGGCCGCGGGTGTTTCTGGAGACGTACAAGGCGAAAGATCTTCTTCAGAAGGGCCCCTTTCGACCGCTAGAAACTTCTGAGCTCTGGTGTATGACGAGGCGAAGTTGCTAATTGAGTTACGACCTCCTGCATTGAGAAATGACAGTCTTCGTGACGACGGCATCACACCGATACTTGATTGAAAGGCCTAGATTGTGGCAGATATTGTAGACTTTGTGACGTCAAGTAGCTTGCAGCGAATATCTGAGACACTATACAGTTGCACAAACACAACTGGAATTCCTCGATACAGTTCAGTATTAATCTGCAATGAGATTTTGCTGCTATATTTTTTTCGTCACTAAGCCAAGACGCCGCATCTATCAATGTCCTGCAGGCAAACTGTTCCATGCATATGGTGATAAACTTCGAACCCTCGGGCTGGGTAAGCATTGTGGCTGAATCAAGCGATGGCCAAGCCGACGGCGAAATCCGAAGTTTGCATGATCAATAGTCGCTCGTACATCGAATTTCACCGAAGGGTTTGAGGCATGGGTAATGTTTTGACGTGCTAGTGTCTCCTTTTAGAAGCAGAGAATAAGATCTGTAAATTTAAGAAATTATACAAAACTTTTTCCATTCCACAAAACTGAAACTCAGCCAGAATCCCGAAAATCTCATCTCCATGACACATGAAAGTGAATCGTGGAGACAGAAGTCTGTGCATCGGATAATTATCTAACATTGAGCATTATACTCTCGGCATTAGGCGCTTCGTATTTTCATAGTCTCTTGTCGTCCCTGCCTCCGAGGCTGCAAGTTAATGTATATCGTGCATGGATTGCCGAGGAGCATTAGGGGAATCAAGCTGGGTCTAGAAATGCGCCAAGTTCCAAATTTCACCGCACTTACTACAGTGCATATCGGAAATATTCAAATCGTGAATAGTCCCTAAAACAATTTGGAGATGTGGAGAATAATCTTCTAGAACTTGCCGTACTTTCCGGTGCACAATTGAAGGTTTCTCGGACTTGCGTAAATTTTTCAGTGAGCCGTGCGGCAATTAACTATATTGGAATTTCGCAGCCAACGAGGAAACTTTAAGTACCAGTTTCGTCTGACCAAGTCGATTACTCTCATTCTGTCTCATCTACTATTGATACTCTGATATATCGTGGTTACTAGTTTCCAACTTGCATGACCCATATTTTTGGACTTGCACTATCGTGCCTCAACTTGCATGAGCTCACATCAAGATTGGATCGGATATGTACCGCTTCTTCATATGAACCTTGAATCACCAGCGGTACTTCCTAATTACACTGCCGTTTACGAACATAAAGTAGTGGACTAAAAAAAGAAAAGCGGAGAAAGTGTCGAGTATATAATCACTGATTGGATGGCTTCAAAAAAGGAAATGTCAATCAAGCAGGATCACCTCCCTAGTGCTGATGCCCAAACTTTACATTTACCTATTAGTGAATCCATAAATGTGATGTTCCAAGGCTCCCATGAACCCACTCAGCCAAGACAAGTTTACGACAACTCGGGTGCCGCATTTAATCCACTTTCTGCTCGCCGCACCGTCAACTTGGCTTATGGAGATGTAGTTCAGCCGTATTATGAAACCTACGCTCAACTACCAAATGACAACTACCACTCTGATTACCACCATGAGCTAGCGCCAGATGGGCACTCGCGGTTTACACCAAAGGGAGAGTTGGTACAACAGCGCCATGATGGGAACTTTTTGCAGCAGGCTGCTACCCATCACAGTACAATTCTTCCATCCAACAGACGAACTGTGTCGACAGAGACACTGCTTCTGTCTCCACAACCACAATCAGCTTCTAGTATTGGTAATGTTCCACTACCATCTGAACGAATTGGCCATGAGTTCCCGGAACCAAATCACCAGTCGAAATACCCAATTCCAGTAAAACCGAGAATAGCTACCACATACTGGAATGACGAAAAGACGTTATGTTATCAAATGGAGGCTCGAGGGGTGCTTGTGTCGAGAAGAGAGGACACAAACTATATTAATGGTACCAAATTACTAAACGTTGCTGGGATGTCTCGTGGAAAGAGAGATGGAATATTGAAGACAGAAAAAGATCGATACGTTGTGAGAGCAGGCGCCATGAGCTTGAAAGGAGTTTGGATACCTTATGAGAGAGCCAAGGAAATTGCTCGCAATGAGGGGGTGGACAATTTTTTGTTTCCTCTTTTTGTTGAAGATATAAAAGAGTTCTATCTGACCAAAGGCTCACAATTGAAGAGCGATTGTGCACCAACGGATTCTTACGACTCTTTTATAAACCAAAGGTTTTTAGGCCCTTAAGGTGAAATTTACGTTCTGTAGTTCTTGTTGTGCTCGAAATTTAGACTCCTCCCTTATTTAGATATCAACTAAAGTTCCACGCTTTTCTTGTTGTTCTTCGATCGACTTGAAGAGACCCTTGAAAGTGCCTTTCCCGAACCCATTATGATGATGACGCTGAATGATTTCAATGAACAAAGTTGGACGATCATGTAGAGGCTTGGTGAAAATTTGCAAGATGTAATTGCACCCTTTATCCTTTTTGCGACGACTGGAGCTATCATAGTCAACCAAGATGTTGAGCCGATGAAGTTCCGAAAGATCTTCTTTCAAAATAATGTCGTCGTTGTGTAAGCGTTCACGAAGTTCGTCATAGTACTCATTGCCCATACTATTGAAAGTTACCCCTCTTTGAATAAGCAGACCAACGGTACTGATAATGTTGGTTGTCAGCAACGCAATATGTTGAACCCCAGGTCCACCATTGAAATCATAAAACTCTTCAATTTGTCCCCGTTTCTTCCCCTTGAATGGTTCATTAATTGGAATCTTTATTCTTCCATTGCTCGACGCCATGACAATAGATCTTAACGCGGTGTTTTCTGTCGCTACGTCAGTCTCATCAACCGACCAATACTTGTGTAGTCCAAATATTCGAGTATAGAGTCTTGCCTTGTCCATCATTTGATTCCAAGTGTAGTTCTGAACACAGTGATCTATACGACAAAGATTGACAGCTGGTAATTGAGAAAGCTGGTCGGTATATTCCACAGACTCTTCTTCAATATTGCCAACATATCCAGGTAAAAATGGACCCGAGTAATCGATATGCTCAATAAGAGTATGACATATATCGGTAGATGGCAACCTAACAGTAGCTAGTTTCAACAGCCCGTTTTCGTCACTCAAAATCCTAGGTTTGAATATTGCTACTGCTCCTTCTCTAATTGCTTTTTCGTAGATGAAGTCGACATCTCTGAACACACAAGGAAATATCAAATACTCCATCACCGTGCTTTGACACAAATAATTGAATAATCTTCTGGATAATCATATCATGAATAGTCGTCAGAGTATCCAGTGCAATATCCTTTAAAAAAGCATTGTAGGATTGAATCTGTGATCTCTTGACTCTCGATGCAGCTACTGCTTCTTCAATGGCCATTGTGAAATCACTGAATTCATTTTTACCAAAGGTGAGCTTCAACGACCTCGTGTATAAAGTCACTGATAAAAGAATCAAAGTGTTGAACTGCTTCCTCTCTAATTGGATCTAGATTAGGGTTATCGACAGTCGACGGAGCTGAGACATCCTCAGAGAATCCTAATGTGTTCACCAATTCAAATATGACATCGCCATTACTGACAACATGGGAAGCAATATTTCTTGAATCACTCTCGAGTCCCCGATAAGCTACTTGTTTGAATCCCATAGAATACTCTAGAAAGCGAGCCATTTGTTTTTGCGTTGGAGCAACAAATCTTGAGCGAGTGAAATGATACAAATCCATCACGAGGAAACTTTTGGTTTTGAAATCCATCAAGCAACAAATCTTCTTCAGCAATACCGAGTAGCTCATCATCAGTAGCCGAGAAGAAAAGGCAACTCGGCAAGGACAGATGTTTCCGACATCACTAGCCTGTTTTGATTTTGTGTTTGTGGTGAGATTTTCTCGGGCAATTTTGCACCCAACTTGTTACATTTGTGTTCGATGAGAATGCAACTGAGAATCCCTCCATTGACTCTGCGCCAATAGGTTGTCGTAGAGTACCGATTGTGAGGCTTTATAATCTTCATTTCTTATATCAAAGTTGAGAATATGGTGTCGAAAATAACTTGGGGGGATAGGGAGCATCGCTGATAGCCTCAAAATCCTTATAAACACCAAACAAGTACTTTTCAATATCTTTGCAGAAATCGATGGTTTGGACTTGATCAAACTTTTCCTTTTTCTCATAGTTTTCCATAAGGTTGATTCTGAACTTTCGGAGTCTTTGCTCGATTCTCTCAAACTTGTAGTTGACATAATTGGGGTAGAACTTGTCGTTTAAGAACGAAGGAGTTGCCGATGGACTCTCTGAAACCGCTACAGTTGTATCTGGTGTGTCCACTTCTTCTGGTATAAATGACACAACAAGTGATATTCTGTCTGCGTTATTCAAGGGTTTGGTTGCAATATGCTTAACGACTCTTCCTTGAAGTAAGGTAGCGTGACCTTTACGGGGACCGTCGACTCTAAAGATTTCTTCGTTTCCCATTCTTAGACATGTTTCACCTCCAATCATATTTGAAGGCGCTTCGAGCATCAACACGCACACCAAGGGGGTACTATCGTAGTGCCAGGACACAGAGCTAGGAATATTATCAGCATTGGTATTCTGTTCCCTCAACTTTTCTCTTAAGTCTTCATCGGTTTTTACGGACGTTTCGTTTCTACACTCTTTTAACGAAGCATTAATGTGAGCCATGCTGTAGACATGAGGTATCTTCAACGGCAAGCCGGCGAGTTTGCTCATAATTTGAATGGTTCTGGGGTGAGAGATCGCTGCCTTGATAAACGGAGTATTGTCTGCAAAACCAGAAACTTGAAAGTCTTTCGAACTTGAGCCCACGGCTAGATTTACACGCCTACCATACTCACGAATTATATCAGGGTTCAGAAAGAGCTCCCATTTCATGATTTCAATGGCATCTTCAGTAAATAATGGAAAAGGTTCAACAACAGCAACGTCAGTGATAGTTTGACAATGAGTTCTTTTGATCCCCAAATCTTGCAATCTGTGTATTTTGGTGGTTTGTGTTTCGTCAAAGGCAAGATGAACATCCGGATCAAACTCAAACTTGTCGGAGAAATTTGGCTTCTGTTTGATTTCTTCAGAAACCTTGAGTATATCGTGAGTCAATACATCCTCATCAATGTCATAGTCATGGTTTCCATTTATGATTTCTTCTGTTAGCATTTTTTTTGGAACGAATTACGATTTGCGCCCTTTTGACTTCATTGTATTATTTGCGACAATGAATCCTTATCGCTAGAGGATCTCGTGAATTTTGACCTAAAATAAATGTTCGGGTGTAACCGTTTCCGGAACATTTCCCGATTAGGATTTTCAATGCGTACTATGAACAGAGGTCGTAGATTTTAAGCGAGTATAGAAAGTGTGGTTCATATACATATAATTATGAATAGCAATAAATTTAATTGAGCAGCATTGAAGCATTAGGAGCAATCTCTCATTGTCGTGTATAAAAATTATCTTCCATCACCGATTATGATACAATTAATAAGGAGTAATAGACCCCGATTCGCCTGATTGAGAAGCCGGTCCTCTTTCATGATTCGGGTTTGTATTGCCATTAGCACGCACCTTCTCATCTGTGTTCTGCTCCGTAAGCTGGTCGTCAACCGACAGCTTCTCGCGTTCAGAGCTATCACCTTCATTGCTAAAATCTTCTTCGTCTTTGTTGGCCTTGATAACCTTGACCTTGATAAGATTGGTGGTACCATAAGACCAAACTGGATGCAATGGGACAAATATGAGACCACAAATTGCAATCATTAGAGCATCTAATGTCATCAAGTACACCTCGTGAGTAATAAGGTATCCACTGAATCCTTGGGCTAATTCAACCACACGATAAATACAACGAATGTACACGGCAATGACTGCAATGGTAAGACCCAATGGCATGTATGGCATAAGTTTACGCGAACGAATGGATTCGAACTTTGGGTTGTACACTGGTTCTCTGTACAACGATTTGTACTCTCTTGCCGACTTTCCATGGAAAAGTAATTTGAAAAAGTGGCCAACCGATGGCTTTGCAAGTGGGTGCTCCTTATAATCAGCGGGAAGGCTATCCACGTTAGACTTTTTAAAGTAAAGTCTTCTTAAAAACTCAAACCAAAACGTAAGGAAAACAGTCATAGCAACAACTTGGAATACGATACCAGCAATCATAGTATTGGTACCAGGTTTAGTGTCATCATGTCTGTTGGTAGCAATGGAAGCAGCAGCACCACCTCCCGCTTGAATCACCAACGAAAGCACATCGCAACCAATAAAAAAGTAGGAGTACCACATGGGTTTCAAAACGGAAAATTGTCGACCATGAATCACTACACATTGTGCAAATAAAAAGTATATCCCCGCCATAATGAATGCGGGAGCAATTGTCAACGACACGAATTGAAGCAAATAGTAGTTCATATCGGTGTTATCTTTGAAACTGAGAACTCTACCAAGGAAACCAGCCAAATTCGAGTCCATAACCACAGAAAAATGTAATGTTGTACCAATGGTAGCGAGACTTGACAAACATACCTATAATGTAAAAGAAAATGGCAGCGAACACAATCAAGTATATGATATTAGCGGGACGATCAAGATGTGTTCCATACAAGTTTTCGTCTTCTGCTAATGCCCTTCAAGTTGAGAGTCGCATCGAAGATTGCTTGTGTTGCTTTCGCTTGAACTTGTTGAGCAGTTGCTGTGGCAAAGTACTTTTTCTGCCTCAATAATGGTGAGCGATGCTTCTGCTCCTCTAATTACCTGAGAGAGGGAATAAAAGTCATAATTTTCAGTCACAACTGAAAGCGAAGAAACTGCAGCCACTAAAGATTCTGATAATGCTGGGGCATAAGTAGTTGCAATGCTTGAAAGTGTGGTTGTAGCCGGGATCTTACTCGGAGTCCACAGTGAAATAGAAAAAGACATGGTCTGGGTGATCTTGTCGTTTTTTTGTTATCAAGGTTTCTCTCCTTATAAACTTCGCGGACCTTTATTTCGGTACGAACTACGGAGATATTCCTGTGTGTAGCGGGGCTGTGGCGGTTTACGATTCTTTGCATCGCCCGCAAAGATTATTTATGTAAGCGCGTGGTGGCTGACACTTGCCCAAAATGGATAACATAGTACTTGGGAGACAATTGTGAGACAATTGTGACACCAATAGTGACAATAGGTGTCAAGATTCGAGGTGTCAAATTTTAACTGTGCCGTATAAAAATGTAAGGCACGTGGCTTAGCGAGGCTGATGAAGAGAGGGGCAAACTTCGCTTCTAGAAACATTGAGAGGTGTGTTTTAAACTTTTCGTTTAAACGGTTCGATTTTTTGCATAGCCGTCGCAATTTTGGAAATTGAGTACTGAGAAAAGAGAGGAACGACAAAAAATAGTGCGAACTGAAAAGGCTGTCTTATTTTTTCCGGTGAGTTGCTCAATTATGTCAGTAAATAGGAGGGGCAGATGACAGCCATCGAGGGGTACATGACAGGCATACGTAAATTATACGACAAGAAAGTTTTTGTGTGTTCATGTTTTTCTTTTGCATTTTAAGTACTAGCGATCATTACAGTAACTTGAGATAGTGATCAGCTCACGAAATTTCGCCTTCTTTTGCTAAAATGCCAGATTGAATTTGCAGCCATTTACCGCGCTAAAAATAGTCATACCCCACAAAATCGATATTGTAGGCTCAATTAGACAGATACTTGGCAAAAGAGGAGTAGAGAATTTTTGCAGTTGTTTCGACGGACGTTGGCGTCTTTCCAGCATTGAGGATAAGATTGAAGTTGTGGCTGGATAAGAATACGTAGTGGCTCTTTAGGACTTCTTGAAGTTGCTCATAAATTCAGATTTTTTGATGGTTCTTTCACGTAGTGTTAATAAGCGAGATATGGTTGCAAATGGAAAAATTTGAAAGACAATTTCTGGTCCTAGCTCATACTCAGACAGCAACGTTTTCAAACAGGTACGATATCGTCGTTCCTAATGCGTAGCTTTTGTGGAATACACTTTGGGGCGTAGACATATCCCAGAAAGCCGAGGTAATCTTGCTCTTTCGTTCCCAGAGTCTAAGAGGCTTCTCTCATGGTTCACCGTATCATTGGGTCATCATCAAGAATGGTCTTTTAAAAACCTTCCATACCATGCTGCTGCCTTTTCCGCATCTTGTATCTGTTGGTCTTTGTTCTGGTGAATTGTCTTCCTCATGATGATATTTTCTGGGCCAAAGGTCCATACTGGGTGCAACGGAAAGAAAATAAATCCACATATTGCAATCATCAACGCATCCAATGTCATCAAATACACCTCGTGTATCATCAAGTGGCCTCCAAAACCTTGGACTAATTCCACCACTCTGTAAATACACCGTATGTATATCATGATTACAGCAACTGTGATTCCCAATGGTAAGAAATGAAACCTTTTTCTTTCACGTATCGAAGCATACTGTTGGTTGTAAAGTGGTTCTCGATATTGTATCACATACTCTCTTGCTGATTTAGTGTTGAAGAGCATATTTGCAAAGTTCAATGGGGTAAATTGTACCATTGGGTGGGATCGAAAATCGGGAGGAAGTTTTTTATCAAAAAATGGCTCAAAATAGCACTTTTTCATAAACCAGAACCAAGAATCCCAAGGAATATGGTCATTGAAACTACTTGAAACATTATTCCAACAACCATGGTATTTTTACCAAAGTTGGAATTCAGATTGGTGTTGGCTTCAGTGGATGCAATTGTACCTCCGACAGCTTGAATCAACAAAGAAACAACATCACATCCAATAAAGAAGTAGGTGTACCACATTGGTTTCCATACCGAAAACTTGCGACCATATATAACCACACATTGGGCAAATATGAAATAAATTCCTGCCATGATGAATGCTGGTGCGATCGTCAATGCAACAAATTGAAGCAAATAGTAGTTCATATCTGTGTTGTCTTTGAAACTGAGAACCCTTCCTATACATCCAACGAGCTCCAATCCGTATCCAAAGATAAAAGTGATGTTGAACCATTGAAATGAAGACTTCCAAACCATGATAATAAAGTAGAAAGCTTGCATTGTGAATAGCACGAGATATATGATATTGGGAATCTTGTTCAAGGGAAGAGTGTACAAGTTTCCTTCGTCAGCAAGCTGTTTCAAGTTGAAAGTAGCAGCAAATATAGCCTGAGTAGCCTCGACTTTAATGGTTTCGTCAGTAGCGGTTGCAAGTACATTTTCAGCACTTATGATGGTAAGCGAAGCCTGAGCTCCCCTGGCAAGTAACGAATAATAATGAAGAGCTGCTGAGCCTGTAGCAGTAGCAGCAACTTACCATGGCAGAAGATAACGTAGCAGAGAGGCCAGAGGTATGAGTAGTTGCAATTGACTTCAAAGTGGTTGTAGTAGGTGTATGGCTTGGAACCCAGGAAGCGAACGAAAATGACATTTGATTGCTGAAGCTTGCTATGATTGGGAACTGAAGTGTATATATTACATGGAGGGGTGAAAAGGCTGAGTAGTTTCTCATCTTGACTTCATTGTTAATGGTTGCAATTTTACGAATGGTAACGGCGCAGCCATGCACGCTGACGTAAGGAGATGGTCCGATTTGTCGATTGATGAACCAAAATGCAGATGCGCACCAATAAAGCATATGCACAGCCTGGCTCACAAGCGCAAACTTGTGTTTGACGTATTTGGCAGTAGCAAAACACTTTTCGTAAACTGTGAGAATTACTATGCGGTAAGTCACGGTTTAGTTGCCAATCTATTTTTAGAAGAACTTTGTTAATGGTTCAACGCCAATGGGAAACTACCATGTTATTCGTCGCTTCTTAATTAGCCGTAAAATCTAACAGTAGTAACTCCACGCTGCATTGTCTGCTGGGCTTGGCATTTTTAGATCTGCCCCGCTTTAAGGTAAAAGTTGCTGCAGCCGCTCGATATAAATAGATAGCCCGCATGCAGAGTAGCGATTGAATGTTCCGAAGATTTGAAACATGAAATTAAATCAATGGCTGCGAATTCGTTACAGAATATCTCGATTCACTTCCTAGCTTTAAACAACGTCAAATGAAAGAAGAGTAGCCTGGCATCAAATACTGGATAATACTGCTCAATCTACAACCAAATCAATCATCACTTGTCATATTTGGTGCTAATTCCATAATCTTGGCCTGGTAAAGCATGTTTCAATGGCTAAGGCTTGTTTCATATCTAAACGCTGGAAACCGTTTCAGACCACTCTTCCTTCTCCTCAACCTTCTCGTCTTGGTTCTGGGTAATCATTCTTCTCTTGATGACATTTTCAGAACCAATAGCCCATACTGGGTGCAAAGGAAGGAAGATAAACCCACATAATGCAATCATAAGAGCATCTAAAATCATCAAGTAAATCTCATGGGTCATCAAGTAGCCGTCAAAACCTTGGATCAATTCCACCACTCTATAAACGCAACGAATGTACACCACAATCACTGCCACGGTGATTCCCACAGGAAAGACTTTGAATGCGGCTCGTTGACGTATGTTTGCATATTTGGGGTTGTAAACTGGCTCACGATAAGTCGCTGAATATTCACGAACTGAGCGACCATTGCAAAGCATCTTAATATAGTTGGCAGGTGTGGATCTGGCCATGGAATGCATAGCGTAGTCTGGAGGAAGGTCTTCATGATCCACAACTTTGAAAAAGCATCGTTTTAAGAACACAAACCAAAAGCCAAGAAAAACTGTCATGGCAAACACCTGGAACACAATACCAACAATCATAACGTTTTTCCCCGTAGTGGGATCTTCATTGCTACTGGAAGCAGTGGATGCCATGGCACCTCCAATGGATTGAATGATCAAGGAAAGTACATCACATCCAATGAAGAAATAGGAATACCACATTGGCTTTAACATGGAATACTTTCTTCCAAATATAACCACACATTGGGCAAATAAAAAGTATATTCCTGCCATTATGAATGCTGGAGCAATGGTCAATGTCACGAAATTGAAGTAAGTAAAAGTCCTTGTTAGTATTATCGCTGAAACTTAAAACTCGACCAAGAAACCCGGCAAATTCCAAACCGTATCCACAAATAAATGTGATGTTAAACCAATGAAAACGAGATTTCCACACCATGACCAAAAAGTATACGAATTGAATGAAGAATACCACAAGATAAATAATGTTAGCAGGACGGTTAAGTGTGGTATCATACAAGTTTTGTTCATCAGCCAATTCCTTTAAATTTGATGTGGCTGCAAAGATAGCTTGGGTGGCTCGAGCCTTAACTGACTCTTCCGTTGCAGTGGCAAGCACCTTTTCAGCACTAATGATGGTAAGAGAAGCTTGGGCACCTCTAATTTGCTGAGAAATATCATAAAGATCTGCCGTAACGGTAGCAGTGGACGCTTTCGCAAGGGCAGAAGTCAAAGTAGATGAAAGTCCTGGGGCATGGGTGGTGGCGATTGATTTCAAAGTGGTCAGAGTTGGAGTATGACTTGGTATCCAAGATTCAAGAGAAATTGGCATAATTTTCCGAATGAATTCTGAGCCACATGCCACCAATATAAATATTTGCAATTACGAGTATCGATAATGCAGCTCAGCCTTGTATGATCTCTGATTCTTGCATGTTCTAAAAATGGCTGCAACCTCCTTTATTGATCTATATCGTCGACACCGACGCACGATTATCTAAGCGCGTAAGTGCAGAAATGCCAAGACTTGAATGCTGAGGATGTGTCAGATAGCGGTATATGCAGAGTAGAGCACTGCCGTAGCCGTGCGGATGCATGACCCGCCGCACTGATCTGACTTACAAATTCGTATGTAGTAACGAAATAGCCTATTCTATTGTCTATCGGATATAAGCCGGCTTCTTCGGGCATAATCGGGCATAACGGCATGGCGCAGCGTGTTGACAAACAGCCGGTGCGCGTTTGGTTCAAATATAGATTTCTAGACAGCCTTTCCATGCAGCAACGAGGCGTTGCAAGTGAACTTTTGATGGAAGAAAAATGAAAAGAGGACAAGATGAAAATAGCTGAAACTGTATACCTTATTTGCGAAAATCTATAATTTTGCAACCGAACGAACAACACTTGAACAAACTGAATCTAAAATTTTTTTTATCTTTTCAATCTTTTTCCTCAGTAGAATGTAGGAAGACCAGCAAATTCCCACGCATCGTTGAAACGAATGTTTCTGTCCAATTTTTCAATTGCAGCCAAATCTTCAGCACCAAGGTCAAAATCGTTGACTTGCAAATTCTGTGCCAATTGCTCAGGAGTATCACCTTTTGGAATGACAGCTATTTCGTTTTGAGTAGACCATCTCAAAAGCACTTTTGCTGGTGAAACATTATGGGCTGCTGCGATTCTAACTATGTCTTCTTGTTCAAACAAAGGTTTACACTCAAGTGCTCTAGGATTTTTCAATTCAAGAAATGATTGAGGACCAAAAGATGAATATGCAATCACCTTAATACCATTGTTTTGAACCCATTTTATCAATTGTGGTTGCTGCAAATATGGATGATGTTCGATCTGCAAAACTGCCGGACGAATTTTGGCACTACTAAGCAAATCCATCAAGACTGCACCATTAAAATTGGATACCCCAATGGACTTCAATTTACCCTTTTCAACCAACGTTTCCATCACTCTCCAAGTATCAATGATGGGCACATTCTCTAAAATGATCTTATCACCATCTCCACAGTAGGTCCCGGCAGGATACTTTTCCTCAAATGGAACAAATTTGAAAGCAATTGGAAAATGGATCAAAAATAAATCAATGTAGTCAAGCTTCAAGTCCTTCATTGTGACATCAAGTGCTTTTTCAACGTTATCAGGGTGATGATAAGAGTTCCAAAGTTTGGAAATAACAAACAATTCTTCTCGTTTCACCAACCCATCATCCATGGCTCGTTTCAAACCATCTCCAACTTCTTTTTCGTTGGCATAATCTTGAGCACAATCAAATAAGCGGTAACCGGATTTCACTGCCTGATAGACTCTGTCCGCGCACACATTGTGGGGTATTTTCCAGGTTCCATAACCTATAATTGGCATTGAAAGGCCCAGAGTTCAATCTGAGTGGAGCCATTGAGTGAATTGATGAATAGAACAGCTCACATCCTTTGGGTTTCCTTTTATATTCGAAAAATCTCTCCGATAGATGTTGCGAAAAACGGCCGAAAACGGCTCCGAAAAGTGGGGTTGCTGGATTACTATGGGTGCAAAAAGTTGAGCGATAAGTTGATGATTGTTGCTTTTTATCATTCCAAAACCAACAATTAATGCGGGTTTATCCTCAAATACGTTGAGCAGAGGCTCAGTTTTCAAAAATAGCTTTCTCCTGATTTCTCTGGCAAAGAGAGAGGTTGTCTTTACCAAAAGAAAGAAGTGACCACAGAGGTATTGGCTCCCCTTGAGAATACCAGAGTATCACTTGCTTGCTCAATCTCTGCTCATGTTGCTCACTCTCTGCTTTAAAGCTATGCGATTCTTATTGATCGGGCAATGAATGGAATCCATACTACCTCCTTCAATTGTGGATAGCACTGGAAAAGTCGTTGAATGAATTGAACTTTACCGTCCCTTAAGTACAGTGTTCTACTGGTTTTATTATGTCTAAGAATGAGGTCTCATTCAGCAACTGCCCAAAGAATTTCAAGTTCTCTATCAAAAGTAGCTAGAGGCATTGGTTGCGAGGATAATTTTCCTATTATAATATGCAATTAGATACTTATGAACCTCCCTTACGAAGTCGCTATGTTGGTCAACGGCTCTCGTTCTTGCTCCTGTTCGTATTCTATTTCCACTCTTGGACGTCTCTTTCTCTTCTCATTAGATTCTGGTGCCTTCCGCTTTCCACCACTTACTTCGTCATCACTGCTATCAGATTCCGAATCTTCTGACGAGTCTCCAAGCCACTGTTCCAAGTCTTCCAAATCAACCAACTCATCCTCTCCATCATCTTCAACATATTCAACCTCACCCACATCACTCTCGTCATCACTAATAAGATCAACTTCGTCCTCATCATCAAATTCCTCTTCCTCGTCTTCAGCTTCGTCAACCTTCCCAAGAACTTTTTTCCAGATGTTTTCATCTACATTCAATGGCTTGTCACCATAAGCTCCACTCTTTAATCTTTCAAGTAATTCTTTTTCGATGGCCTTCTCAATCTTGGCGGCTGCAAGTGCCTTACGTTCACGATTTTCCTCTCTTCTCTTGACCTTTGGTTTCACACCAACGTAGTGTCTCTCCTCCTCCTTTAATGCTAGTCTCCTCTCGGTAATGGCCACCTGGGTCAACCTTGTTAATCTCTGTTTGCACTTGTGGATCAAGAATTTTTGCCAATATTGCAATCGTCCATCTATTTGTTCAAGAGCTTTATTATAGTTTTTCAGAAGACGGATCCTCTCCCACCATTTCGATGGCATGTGTGCTCTCTCGGCTGTTTTCATATACAAGTATAGTTTCCCATCTACATTTTTCACGGTTGCATAACGAGCATTTGCAAGTGGACACGATTGACGATTACACAAACCAGACACATTGTATTCGTTCCTGCAAAAGTTCTGGTTCGTGGTTGTTTTGATCTTGAAGGCGCAGAACTGGTGGTTGATAACCTGCCAAATAACCTCGTCAGACATGATGGGGATTGAAAGATTTCGAGATGCTCATCGCAAAAAATGTACCCGGTTACGTAAGCGGCACATCGAAATCATTTCCATATCGCGGTTCAGAGTTAAGGCCGGCACAGATCACGCATGGATATGGTTTGACTGTTGATGAATCTTTTTGGCAGAACCCCTTGGTGCTATCATTAAATGCCACTTGAGAAAAACTGTATGAAAGGGTGTCAAGAAGGCTGGAATTGACTTCGAAGAACACCCTAGTAGGTTGTGAAAGATGGATGGTCGGCGATGATGATGGTGCAAACCTCGGCCTCGTAGTCTCCGGTCTGGTTTGAGACGGTAAACGACGCTCAAACAATCTTCAAACTTGTTATTGAAAAACGAACAGGAAATTTGCAACCAATATCGACTAGTGTCGTCTTGTGATACTGTTATCATAACCAAGAAAGACACGAAGAACGATTCTCCGATGACTCAAATTGACCGTTATGTTCCTTACAATAAAGGCTGAATAAGCGGTATGCAAAAGGTATTGGCCGCTTCATCTTCAACTGGTATCGATGATGGCAATTACCTTTAACTCTACAACAAACAAGAACACACTAGATTCACTATTTAAAGACCATGCCAGTACTTGGTTTCCTTCACGGTGAATTCCGCGATCAACTCAATATCATCACTACTTGATCCAACGTGAACCTCATAGTTACCCTTCTCAGCACACCAAGCGTTCTGGTACTCGTCAAAGTAAGAAATGGAATCCTTCAAGGACAATGTAAATGAAGCAGTAGCCAGCTTGCCCAGTTTGATTGGTAACTTGGTGAATTCCTTCAATTCTTTTACTGGACGATTAATCGAAGAAGATTTGGGTGCAATGTAAACCTGTACAGCTTCTGCTCCGTCGATGTCACCTGTATTCTTGATGGTTGCAGAAACCTTAATTTCCTTGTCGTCTGCGGTCACCTTCAAGTCGGAGTACTCAAACTTGGTGTATGATATACCGTAGCCAAAGGGGAATGCCACCTGTTTCTGCAACTTTTCGTAGTACCGGTATCCAATAAAGACGTCTTCACCATAGAGAACTCTACCCTTTTCAGTTCTGAAATTGAGGAAAGTAGGGTTGTCCTGAACACGAAGTGGCCATGATAAGCCTAATTTTCCACTGGGGTTGACATCGCCGAAAAGAACATCGGCAATTGCATTTCCAGTCTCATTACCACCGAACCAAGCATGCACTAATGCCTTGGCTTTCGAGAGCCAAGGGAACTCGACGGGAGTTCCCGACTGGTTTACAACCACCGTATTCGGATTGGCTTCAAGAACCGCACTAACCAAGTCGTTGGTGTAACCAGGCAAGTCCATATTAGGTCTGTCAAAACCTTCACTTTCCCATTCTTGAGTCAATCCAATCGATAAAACCACCTTGTCGACGGACTTGGGCCAATTTCAACTGCCCTGGCGATTTTCCTCCTGTGGATCGATAATCTGGGCGAACCCAAAACGCACAGCTCCACCTCCACCGAAATCAACTGAATCTTGAGTCTTGATGGTGGATGTAGGAGCAGAACCGAACTCCACTCTTATCTTATTGTTTGCACCTTTTTCCAACTTGATGGTTCCCTTCTGCTCAATTGTGCCTAAGTTGAAAAACGCATCTCCTCCAACTTGGTCCTTGGTGTTGTCTACCACAAGTTTATTGTTAACAAACAATTGTGCACTTCCCCACACCGTCAAGCCAAACTCATGCTCGCCAGATTCATCCACTTCAAATTCACCTTCGATATCGGCCCAGAACAAATTTCCTTTTAAATTTTTGTTGTAGTAGTCTGCCAAAAATGCCTGAGAAGTGTCGATATCCACCTCGTCAAATTGAGTTCTTGTCTTTTCTGTAGGAGGCTCGTGGAAGAACTTCATGTTGAGTCCCATTCCACCGGTTACAGGGTTTTTGGTGATTCTTCCCATATCTGGCAAGGTTTTGTGGCTATGAGCACCAGTGGTATATGGAGGCTCTTTTCCCAATTTTTTGGTGATACCCTCGTATGGGGTCACCGTATAGTAAGCTCTCAATGAAGCAGAACCACCTCCGCAGTACGCAGCTATCTTTGCGTTGGGACCAATAACAGCAATTTTTTCATTTTTTTGCAATGGTAAGATGCCCTCGTTTTTCAATAACACAATACTCTCTCCAGCAACTTCACGAAGGTGCTTTGCTGTTTCCTCAGTGTTGTTTTTTTCGTCTTCAGGACAATCCTCAGGAATTCCAGAGTCAAGCGCATACTTGATTATTTCCAACACATTACGAACTCTGGCATTGAGATCGTTAATGTGCAACTCTCTGGTTTGGATCATATGGCCCACAGCAGCTTGAGTTCTGAATCTGGTAGGACCAGGCATTTCCAAATCCAATCCGTTTTCAATCGAGGTGTTCGTGGTATAAGTTCCGAACCAGTCAGACATCACAAGTCCATTCCAATTCCACTCTTTTCTCAATATCTCGTCAATGTAGAGTTTTGATTGAGAAACATGTTCTCCATTAACTTTGTTGTAACCAGTCATGAAAGCCTTGGGATTCGCGTGCTTGACTGCCAAGCGGAAAGGCTCCAAGTAGATTTCACGCATTGCACGAGGAGTAACAATTGAGTCACTAGCATTACGCTCGTGTTCCAAATCATTACCAACATAGTGTTTGATGGTGGCTGCAACATGTTCGCTTTGCACACCATTGACAATGGCAGCAGATACCATTCCAGCCAAGTATGGGTCCTCACTGAAAGACTCGAACCCACGGCCCCCTAAAGGTCCTCTTTGCATATTGGTGGTAGGTCCCAACAAAATATGGGCACCTTTATGTTTGGCTTCTTCTCCCATGAGCTTACCACTTTCATTTAACAACTCCTTGTTGAAGGTTGAAGCCAACGCAGTTCCACATGGAAAGCAAGCGGACTTTACTCCATTAAAAAATCTGGTTCCTCTGACACCATTGGGGCCATCACTAGTTCGAATCGATGGAATATTTAACCGCTTGACTGGTACTGTATGCCAGAAATCCCGACCAGCCAACAAGCTAATTTTCTCATCCAAAGTCAATTGCTGTAAGATTTCTTCAACATAAAAGTTTTTCGACATTGTAAGTCAATTGGTACCAAAATGATGGAAAAAGTGCCACTTTATAGTTGATCGGCAAATACGATACCCCGATACCCGCGGGGGCCAAGACGCACTGCTTGCGGTAACTTTCCCAGAAGCCGTCCCAAAAGGGAATGTTTGCCGCAAGTGGGACAAATGCGCGGAATAATTCCCCCGATTATCGGGGTAATGTGGGGAAATGTTGAGCTGCGATCCGAAAATTATACGAGCATTAAAGCGAAGTACCATCTGAATATTTGTAATCGTGTGTTGTCGCCGTGGACCATGATTATTCCAAGTCGTGAATTTCGGAATCTAAACTTGCGAAAACATTGTCAAAGTTAATCATAGTTTCGTTTCTCCACATTTCTTCAAGATTGAAAAATACATCATTGAATTGATCAGGCAAAACCAGTTGGTCATTAACATCCATTAGGATGGGGTAGTGGGCTCGGAAATAATTCAATACGTGTTTCATACCCCAGGAAACACTGTAGCCTGTAAAATATGTAGAAGCCAATTCTTTACTAGAGTCGTGAAGATGCTGTAACTTTTTAAGCAAATTGCGAAGTCCAACTTGTTCGTTATCAAAATCAATGTCCAACCATGTAACAAGCCCGGAAGAGTCAGGAGATCTGAAATTTTTCATTGCACTGTTCAACGAAAGTGTTCCATCCATGGATCGTAAAATTATCGAACTTGTAAATACCATGGTTCGATACAATGATAGAAATATACTTTGTGCAATCAACTTTTCCAATTGAGGGCCGAAAAATGAACATGGTGTGTCACAGAATGCAAGTCCTATCCTGAGAATAATAAGACAATTTTCAATCACAGTAGTGAAATACATTTCCTTCAAATGTGACTCAAGGAAATCATCAGCAGAAGCGTAGAGTAAAAAATTGATGATGAAGATCTTGTAGGTTAAATCTAACCGTAAGCAGAATTCAAGCGCTCGATCACAAGCATTGTTATCTACCACGTCTTCAACATGATATAGTTGGTCGAACATTCGGATTTTGTTACACAATAGAAGCTTGATCTCGTTGGCCAGTTCTAAAAGTGATGACCTTTTGGTGGAGTCACCTTTTCCCGTTGCTTTAATAAGTTTTCTTATGATTTGGGATACCTGAGCTTTCAATGCAAAGTTCCTTAGAATAAGTGGCTGTTCTTCGACGACTGAAAAATTTGGTGTGTCCAAAAATGGGAAGTTGTCCTCTTCATGAATTATTAATTGACCTCCCAAATTGAATGTTTGTGATGCATCCATGAACACTAGTTGAGCCCATATCTTGCTCCACAAATGTTTTGTTTCCTCATCAACAATGCTACACTCGTATGATTTAGGATCCCTATGAATTCCATGAATTCTCGCCATCTGTACTAGAGACCCTGTCAAAATACTAGACTCAGTTCCTGATTCGTTTGATTCAGGGCAGTACAGTCTGTATGTTCGTAATAGGAGGGCAGCCTGAATTGCTCTGAGAGTTAATTTGTTAAAGCATCCAGCAGCGAACACGAGGATATTGGCTCGACTGATATATGAGGGTCGGATTTCAATCAGCAGCCCTATCATCTCTTTCATCATTTGGTGGATATTCCCTTGAAGATTGTTGGAATAGTATCGTTTAAAAGGAAGCGTGAGATAAGCGAACCTCATCATGATCAAGACCAAAGCAATTGTACTTTGAAACAGTCTGCCTTCCAGTGTAAGTACTGTGTGGCCTCCCCTTTGAACGAGTGCTATCTTTACCTCCTCCATGAAAGAAGACTTGTTTATGAATGGAGCAAAAGGATAGCATATCTCGAAAAAACGATCCAAAAGAAACATGACAATGTTTAATGAAGGTAAATCAGAGACAACTTTAGACGCATCCGGGGGCTTTCCACTATCGGAGCATAGTTTTCTGGGGCAGGGAATCTCATATTGTTCTCTGTAGCCTTGTAATTGTTCTCTCGTATAGTCCTCGAACATTGTTTTGGAATAAGTGTCATTCATAAAGATAGATGTGTGCGAAGTGGGGCCAAAATAGAAGAGGATCGAATTCTTCACTGTGAGACCATCAAATGCCTTGCTTAATTCGAGTGTTATATCATCTTTTTCCGGTTGATCATTGACCAAAGTATTGTCTGAACTGAATGAAGAAACGTTCAATTGTTGCTGTTGCATTTCCACGATTTGTTCTAATGTCCTCACCTTGTCACGTAGCTCGTCGAGTTCTTTCTGGGTTTCCAGATCGTGGTCCATTGACATCCATGGATGCTTCTCATAAGTACATAAATCGGTATTTCCAAAAGTGATACAACTATTGCAAAAAGGCTTGTTTTTATCGCATTTTGTTTTGCGCCTTCTACACATGTAGCATGATATGGGGACCCTGGCTCTGGCCCTTCGTCTTTTTTCTTGATCACTTCGAATACTCGCCATCAGTGTGTTAGATTAATCAGTTGCGAAAATATATCTAGTTTGCATATAATATTAGACAAATCGCGAAGATTTGGGAAGATTAAGATTCATGCCATACTGCTCGAAGATTCAATTGATTTTCATGAAATAGTCTCTATCATCCTTTAGCCACTAAATTTTCAAATCTGAAGAGACACAAGTTCCCTAAATTCAATTTTTTCTCTGAATTTGACGTACGGCACATGTACGGCGCCTATATGAACAAGGACAAACTGTAGGAGATAAGTTTACGTTCTTCCACTCCATGTCAGCACAAATGGAGAATTACAACTTCAAGTTGATGATGAAAAAGTGGCATCAAGCTGACAAAAGAAGCAAGAATTTGAACCAGGTTAAACATTCCAAGCTCCATTCACGTCAAAACAAACTGCCTTCTTGAAAAGCCGTTGTGCAGAAAATCGTTATCTTATCTCTATTGCAACCGATGTTGAAGTGCTGTTACGGAGTAAGATTCCACATTTGGCTGAATATCAATGGCTTGTATCGTGGTATATATTGAGAAAACATGCTTGACCAAAACTAATGCAGCTTAACATTTTTTTTTAGCTTCTGCAATTGTCAATGGCTTACTTGCAGTCTCAGCAATAGTTCCTGTCGAAGCCCCATCAATAGATATTGGTGGATTTATTGAGCTTGATTTCGACAAAGTTAATGCTACAGAATTGGCAGAAGACCATCGACTCCGGAAGCGTGATGTGTATACTGACAGCTTGATCAATAAAGAGACTACTATATTACCTGGATTGAGTTGGTTCAACGAACAAAAGTTGGGTGTTGATGTCGATACCGG